TTCCGCCTAGAAAAACACGAACAAAACCCATGCCAAATTCACTATAATTGAGAGAATAGAAAAGTTCAGAGCAGATAACATTAGAAAGATTTTAGAGTCCCATGAAAATAAGTGGATACAACGTCTAAAAACACAATATCCAGCCGGGCTAAACCATAAATTTAACAATATATATAGTATTAATATATAATCAACAAATCAAAACCTACCCACATTTCTCACCCACACAAGACAGACATGCTTACGGAGGAATGGAGGCCTCACACTTATACACACCCACACGAATATACACACTTACACACATCATACTCACTCACTCCCTAATGAGCCAAATGATAACACACACCTACAGCAATACACACGCTTACACATATCATACTCACTCACTCCCTAAGAACCAAATAACACACACACAAACACTAAACAGAGACACATCCCCTCACCAGGTCCAATAAAACTGTCAAACTGACCAGAGAATTCAGATAATATGTATCTATCCAGCTCTTATCTCAAATAACAACTTAAAAGAGACTGTTTGACCAACACAAGGAATGTTAAAAGATTCATGTTAAAAAAAGATAAAAAATAAAAAACAAATGAAAACTACAGACAAAAGTTCATTTTCTCCATCAAGACATTCATTTCTGTAGTTTACTGCTACCAGCAAGCAGAAATATTTTTTCCTCCCGATGATGGCCATTTCGGTCGAAACTAGTCGAGGAATCTAAATGGAATAATAATAAAAAAAAACGAAAGAATATTAATCTACAACCCAGTGTGTCTAAAGATTTTAATTTTTTTAATTTTTTATTTTTCTTATTGTTCAAAATATATATATATATATATATATATATATATATATATAAATATATATTATTTATAAATAAAATATTTATATTCATGTTAATCATCTAATCATGTTTCAAAAAAACACAATTGGTGAAGGGTCAATAATATCGTGCAATATGAAATACAGTTAAAATACTATTGAGCCATATGAATTGTACCCAATTAGCTGTAAATATTAAAATAGCACCATAAACTATTTCATATAATAACAAACACTGTTTCATAACCAGAATTATAAACACACTTTAAAAAGTGCATTTAATGTTTTTTAATGTATCAGTTATAAAATATAGACCCCATTCCATATGGTCCATAGGTTGTAAATCTCCTTTAAGTTAAGAAAAAAGGATTCTTGTACATTGATTTCAGGATCAGAACTCAAGGTTATACTGTCTAGAAAATAACGACCTCCTGTATCCTGATTGATAAGAGGAGAGTTTTGTTCTTCAGAAGTCCTGCAAAATTAAAGTGGAAAATAATAATAAACACAATAGAGATTCAACAATAATAAATGCAGAAAACAAAAGATATCTTTTGAATAATATTAAATTTTATTTCACATGTAAGAATGAAAATTAAGGTCGAAAATAAAAATTTTTTTTATCAAAACAATGTAAGCAAGAAAAGAGTGTACAGACAAAAGAAATTTTTCCTTATTATAATATAGGTGATAATTTTATGTATAAAACATTTGAATATTATTTCCAAAATAAAAATCATCAATTTTGAGATCAAACTCTGCTGATGTAACAAATAATTTGGACTCTTTCAGTCCCAAACTAGTCATTTTGTTTCAGATAATCAATAAACTGTTTAATATTTGACAATAACATACATGCAAAAAAAACATTGAAAGGTGTTTTCATTATATATATTAAAAAGAAAATTGTTTTTTTCCTAACACTTTCTTTGCATCTAGAATACAAAAGTGAATTCTATAATTAAATCCTCAAGGTTTAATGAACAATGATAACATTTCTTTGTGAAGTTACAAAGAGCATCCTTCTTGTAAGATTCTGCAAATAAAGAAAATAAAAAGAACTTCCAATTTTGATACCTTATATTTCAGGTATATAAGATAAATGTAAATAGCTTACAAAAATTATTTACAGCACCTCCAAATTCTGATAGTTATATTGTCCAGAAAGTTATTATCCCAGGGGGTCATGATTTTATGATTGTACAGAAAAAACGATTTTAAAATACTAATATCTTTTTGTTAAAACAGAAAATATATAACATACCAATATAACATATATTAAATTGATAAGTTTCAGATAAATATTAGTGATGCAAAGGTTGCCAACATTATTTAAATATATAAATTCATACCATCATTATTCAGTCATTAAAATATTTCCATAGTTTTCTATGATTACAGCATGCAGTAAAATCAACAATCAATTGCTTTGGTTAGAAAAATATTTCTTTTCTAATGCATCATTCAAATGAGCCAACAAATAATAAAAGCAATGCTTAATAAAAGAATTTCTTTTGGGTTCCATTTTCCAACAGAAAAATTTCTTTTTGAAAAAATATTTACTGAACACAAAAATTGAATATAAAATTTAATCAAAATTTTTTTCAAATGTCTGTGTCCCCTGTTGAATTTTTTAAATTTCTTAAGATGAAAAATAAGATTTCTAACCAATAAAATAGAGAAAAACCATTTTCCTATACTCAGAATATTTTCTAATGATAGTCAATGACTGATTGCTCAAGCAATAAAGAGTTGAGTAAACTTCAAAGACATCTTTCAACATCAATTGTAGTTTTGTCTTATTCTAAAAAAAAAAAATACTGATAAAAAGTCTACCTGTAATCTCTAAAACTACCTGATCAACTTTTGTAAAATTTTACATGTTGACTTATTCTGTTATGGGTGTTTTACTTTTTTTTTTAGTTTTTTCAAATTTTAGAATCATTACTATAAAAAAATTATAAATAAATTTTTTATTAAATTAGTGAGAAGAAGCATCAAATTTAAGCCTTTCATTCTAATGGGGTCTCAAAAAATATCTTAATATTGTTTGTTATTAATCTTTATAGCAATCCAAATTATTTGTTAAATAATATTACTGTTTAGATATTTTGCATTTAGAAACATTATTTTATAAATAGTATTATTCAAAATATTCAGAAATATATGTGCATGAAAAAAAAAAAAAATCATCCTTTTTTGTCAATTTATAATCTAGAAGAATTTTATAAAGTTTTTTTGCAAGATAAAAATGTCTTCAAATTCTGAGAAGCAGATTTTTGGCTTATAGAAAAAAATTTAGTTGAAAAAAAATGACTCAAATATATATTAATCCAGTAGAAAGCTTTTGTCTCATCATTAAGAGATGTATATGAGAATGGAAAACATTATTTAAGCAAAGAAGATATCTGGCAAAGAAGATATCTGGCAATCAATAAAATCTGCTGCAAGTAATGTTAAAATGTAAAACAGTAGGAAATGGAAAAAAATAAAAAAAATCAATGGTAAAAGACTAATGAAGGTTATAGAATGTCAAAGAGTGCTTATTAATATGTAAAAGAATAAAATAATAATTTATTCATGTATATAGGATATTGTGTCAAAAAAGGTTATTTTATGTGGTCTATAACTTTTGGATTTATTTCAAATTAAAAATTTATTTTACACGTCATTTATATGCATAATAAAACCTGACATCCCAAATATTTTAATAAAGAGAGATTATTATAATCTGAAACTATAATCTAAGTTGGATTAGGAGGATTAATCAAAGTGAATGCTGTACTTAAGCTTAAGTGAATCTAAGTATTTATCTTTTCATGTAAATAACTAATTCATAAGGATTTATAAATACTCTATCATTCAATCTATTTATTAGAGAAGTCCTGTTTTATCCTTTCATTTTTTTTTTTTTTTAAAAATCCATTTATAGATTTTCATTTTTTTAACAGAATATTAAAACTGAAAATTATCAAAATTAAATACAAATTACAATTAAATTATTGTATTTTCATTGAAATCAATCCAAACAGCTAAAAACTGATTATCAAGAGATGACCACTATAATTTATATTTAAAATTGTTTTATAATTACCTATAAATGTTTCTGTTGACGGCTTTTGCTTGATGTTGAGTCAATTTCAACCACCAAATAATGTAATTATTACTCTGTCCTTAATAAATAAACATTTGACATGGCCTGAAAATGACAAAAGAAAACAAAATAGTTGCCATACACAATCATGTAAATTACCTAGTGCCTTAAGTTTAATTAACTTTGCCTATAGGTGGATTCAAAAAAAAAATTCTACAAGTATAATTGATAAAAAAAAATGAAACTGGCAGATTTTGAAGGATGAAGGATTAATGGACAGTGAGGAATACATTTGAACAAATCAGCTTTTAACAAAAGGACAAAAATGTAGCAGTGAGGAAAAATATTGAAATAGATTAATGTTTCAAATATATTACAAACATATTACTACATTATTAAAGTATCATCACTAATATGCCACTATGGCTGATGGAATAGATGTTTGAAGAAAGATTGTTGATTTTTCTTATGGCAAAGAAAATTTATTGATGAGAAAATATCTCCATAACCATAAAAAAGATCTGAATTTTTCTAAAAGAAAGACAGAATTAAAAGAGTTAGGATAAAATTTATATTTAATTAAAATTACTTGGAAAAAAGTAATAAACAAATGAACAAATATTAGGCCCATATATTAGATTATTTTTTTTATTATTATTGTGAAAAAAGAAATTTTTTATGATACAAATATTAATTGTTGTTGTTGTAATAAACACACAAATATACAGATAATATAGATTCTACTTATATTTTTGGTTGTAATTATTACACATATCACATACAAATTAATCTTTAGTGTAACATAGACTAGAATTTCAATTTCAACAAAAAAAATTTATTAGGATAGAATTGTAACAAACAAAAAGATTTTTTGAATACTTTTGACTTTTTGAAAAATTTTTTTTTTTTTTTTTTGAACAACATCAACATTATTTTTTTTTTTTTTTTGTTTGTTCATACAAATTGATAGTGTTAAGTTTGTAAAATATTAATACCAGCTGATGTATAAAAGGGTTTTTAAGAAAACATTTTGTTGTCTAAAAGGTCAGAACCCTGGCATCTGCAAGTGAAACTCACTGAATATCAGGATATATTCTTTTCTGTCCTATAAAAAAAGAACAATCTGCAACACTTTAAAGTCACTTTTACAACATTCTTTAATTAATTAATCAGGTTAATTAAAAAAATGTGAAGAATAATTACTTTGGATGAAAGTAAATTAATTTTATAGAATTACCATTTTTCTATAGATGAATTTTAATGAAACTCTAATCAAGTATTAATAGCCAACATTCAAATACAAACCTAAAAAGAATTTTTTAGTTTTGAAAACTAGATAGGGAAATACAAACTAGTATTCATTAAATGCAATGATTTGTTTAATTTAAATAGATTGATTGATTTGTTTTTTTTATGGCTTATCAACCTTTTAAAGGTTATTTAAAGCCAAAACATATTTTGGATTGTAAGAACTTTTTTTTTTAGATAATAATGTTTTTCTGATAAAAGTTCTACTATTTAACTTATAGCTGGGAAGAGAAAAGGTGGATTCAAGGGTATTTGCACATAAGTGAATATAATGAACCCAACTGGAATTGGAACTTGGCTTCCTGATTTCTAATGCTGAGCTGTTATCCACTATTACACCACTTGCACATCCAAGCTTACAGTACCTGATATTCTCCAGTGGTTACCCATTTAGATACTGACCAGGCTTGATATTGCTTGTTATTGATGAATGAGCAAGAACTGGTGTTTCAATGTGATATGACTGTAAGCCTTTCTTTCCTAGAAAGTCTAGAATGTAATTGCCAATATTCTTGTGTTATTTAAAACTATTGTTCTCATCTTGGTTGATATAGATGTTATCATAGACACAATGTTTCAACTAAATACCCTCTGGTCATCATCAGGTATCCATTGTTTGGCTGATATGGGATATCTATTGATTATTGTGATATTTTGTCCCTGTGATGTTAGTTATTGTTCGTTTTATATTGAATTAGAACTTCATTATCTGATCCAAGAATCATGACCACTAAATGACAATAACACATGTATAACCAAATCCTATATCCACTATGCCACCATCCTGAGGAACATTAGTGGTGTGTTCTTTGGAGGCTTTTATATTCAGTGCCAGATAGATTTGACATTTGATTATAATAGGGGGTTCTTATCAGAGGGTACTTGGTCGAAATGTATCTATAATAACATCTATGTTAACCAAGATGAGAACAAAAGTCCAAAATAATAGAATACTGAAAGAAAATTGGATGCGAATATTCTGAGTATAATGTAAATAAACATCATGGCACTTTTTCGTTTCTTCATCAAACACATTTTCTAGTATTACATGCATTTATTGCATAATATATTATAAAAAGCATATAATAATCTATATATAACATTGTGACTTTATATATTTATTGGTCATTCTACTAACTTCCTCTGTTTTACATAATGAGATATTCTCTTCTTTAAGGTAATACAAACTTAATCCACTGGGAGTTACAACAAGATCAATAATCATCATAAGCAAGATTAGTAATCATCATAAACAATGTTGTTGTAAGGTTGACGAAGATCAGTAATACATTGCCTTTTCTTTATTTTGTCCTCATTTTCTTTGGATTAGGAGGCATGGTAGAGTAATGGATTGTGGCTTGGATTGAGGAATCAAAGAACCAAATTCAAATTCCAGTTGAGTTCATTATTTAGTATAATTCACCTGTCAAATTTGTTGAAAATTGAGTTTTATATTCTTTTTTTTTTTGAGCTTATTAACATATAAAAAAACTTGTTATAATATGAGCATTAGATTCTGAGAAATAGATAAAAATATTTAAAATTAATAGGTGTACAAATAAATTCATCATTGACTGCATATGTGGGCTGAATAGCCATTTGTGCATTTGAGTGAAGCAATTATTTTTCTTTTGCAATTGCTTGGAAAGACGAAATAACATCTTAGTCAAGAGTAATGAGGAAATGTTCAAGACAGGATCATTATAAAGAAAGTTACCACTTACCAGAGACAAGTATACTATTTTGCCGGTTGTAGGTAGTGGTACAACGCTCAGCAAAGAAATTGTTGATATGGTGAGTGAGAATTTGATTGTAGGCTCCTTTTCCACTGACCAAAATATCATGGACAAGGTAGGGAAGAACCAACTTTTTCTTTCTATGTAATAAATTTTTATTGAAGTTGAATAATATGATATTGTGTCACACTATTTTCAATTTAGGAATAAAGACAAAAGAGGCTTAGCCCAACATATCATACCATTTTGGAATCAGTCCAATTCATCTATATGAGCAAATTAAAACTTTTTCATTCCTAGAATCTGTAGCCCAGATCCATACCATTTGATCAGCAATCCTGAAATTTTTGGATTCCCAAGTTTCCTGAATTTTTATAATTGTCCAAGTTTTTTTTTTTTTTTTTTTTGTTTTTTTTTTTTTGATTTTTTTTTGTATAACAATTTTTATAACTTGGAAATAAATTTGGGAATAATTGAAATTAATTGCAAAATCCAAAAAAAGTCACCCATGAAATAAAAATAATTGTTTTGTATGGAAAGTAAGGACCTACATACATCAAATTGTCTTTAAATTAAATGATGGCAGAAGAATTATTGTTGAACTTTTAAAAGGTAAGCTTAAATATTAATGCAATACTTAAATGCAGTGATCAATTTTGAGTTCTTCTATAGTTTATTGTTGCCTATTACATCTACTCCTCCCTACATATTGCGATGAAGGCCCAATCAAGAGCTCCAACAGAAGCTAGCTTAAATGCTGCCCAATATGCGGCTTTTAAGCTTAAAAAAATGTGTGTATATATATATAAAATGTTTTCAAACAAAGTGTGAAATTGAAAACAATATATATATATATATATATATATATAATTACAAATATATATTATATGACATGAATACTTATTCTTTTTGCTCAAAATCAGAGATTAAATAACATATTTGGTTGGATTAAAAAAAAAAACTCTGACCCTGGGTTTCAACTTGGAGAAGTCAAAAAAACTGATTAATTTTTTTTTTTTTAAAAAATTTTTTTTATTTATAAACTAAAACCGGGAAATGTTAAAATAGATTGTGGTGTTGAAATTTTGAAAAAATGTTAGATTAAAACACGATTTATTAATAAAACCTAATGAAATACAAATAACACATATAATTGTATTGTCCAGAACATGAATTTGTTATATAAACATAAAGGAGTTCGGATTTGACATATGTATGTATACCATGGTGGTTTTGTCTAACATATTTTTTGTAACAAACATTCAAAAATTTTTTTTAAGCAAAAAAATGCTTTGAATGTCAGAAGAATAAAATAAACCTTTTTCCTAATTATTGTCTGTGTTTAAATTCAAATTTTAATAATTTTTTGATATTATAATGCTCCATTATATTTGAGGTCAGTCAAAGTGTTAAGTATCACATTTTGTTTTAAGATTTCATTATTTAAATATTTATTTATTTAAATGTTGGATTTCATTTTTAGCAAAGTTTTTTTCTGAATGTTTTTACATTAATATCTTCAAATGCCAGATCATGTAAAGTAATTTAAAAATTAAAATTTGGGCATGGTTATCTTTAAATAAAAAAAAAATAAAAAAGACAGTTAAGAAGTTGTAAAATGAAATATAATTTTTCATTTTGTATAATTTTTTATTTTTTTTTTCAATTAATCTTCATGACTTGTTTGACTTGTTCAAAGTTGATATTATTGAATGTTTTTTTTTTCTTTTTTATTAACAAATTTTTCTCATTATTTGTAAAAAGCCTTTCTACATGTGGATGATTCTTTTATTTGCATTATCAGTGAAGTTCATGTTTTATATTTTGATTGTCTCCATAACTTTTAAATGAACCTGGGGAAGCTAAAAAGAGATATTCAAATAGTTTCTTTTAAAAAATGTGTATATGAAACATATATAATTTTTTTTTTTTTTCACCCCCTTGTCAGTTGTTTTCAAGTAAACTTGGATTATATATATATATAATATATATATATAGATGTTTGGGAAAAGGATAAAAGAAACAGGGGATCAAGATCTGTCATTCAGAATATGTTGATTGATATTCACATAATATATATTTAAATATTATAGCTATCAGAGAAATAATATTTTAAGGGAGTTCCATCTATTTATTGCGATAAAATTTGTTGTTAGAACATCTGATAAGTTTGATTTAACTTTTTATCATTAAACGAAGAAAAGATGCCAACCAAAAAATCCAGTTATTTTTTATTATTTTCTAATTTATCAGAGATTTTTTGCCATGAAATTATCAAAGATAGAATAAACAAAAATCTTAAAACAATATTGTGAAAAAACAACATTGATAGATCTGTCATCATTTTCCATATCTTATAAAAATCACCCCCCATCCTTTAAACAAAAATATAAAGAAAATAAATAATTTCACAATAGCATTTCCATTACATCCCATTCAATCATGAATACAAAAAATGTAATTTTCAACAAAAAAAGAAACTTTTAAAAAAACTTTTGATTCCTAACCAAACTGGTATTCTAATATATAGACATTTAAAAATTATAGAGAAAACATTTTGATTTTTTTTATCATGGTTTTTTTTTAACCATTTAATGTATAATCCTTCAAGTATTTTTCATTTTTTAAAATAGATTTTTCAAATCAAGTATAGTTGACATTTTTCAGACAAATAGATTTCCTAAATGTTCTTACTTTTGCTGGCAGGCATGTTGTTTTAAATGCCTAAAAATGGTAGATTGTTTTCATTAAAATGTAGTTTTCAGTTTAGAAATAGATAGTACCTGTCTGACCTTTTCAAATTATTTATTTATTTTTTTGAGACTTTTTCAGCAAAATAAATTTTCTATTTCAATTTATGTGTTGGTTTTTTGCAAATTTCTCATGACCTGGGGGACAAAGAATCAGCTTCCATTTTTGTTGGATATATTAGATTACATTTACTGAATATTTTTATAAATTTAATTTTTTAAATTCAATCTGTAGTTGATATATTCGATTTACTAAATTTTTTAGGGTTTGTTTTCTGATATTCTTTTTATAATTAGGTATGCATTACAGAACATTTGTTTTATTAAATTATATTATATATAAATCGATTTTTCTGACGTTTTTTTGAATAGCATGAAACAGACTTTCACATGGACACAGGTGTCCCCAAGACTTTAATGTTCCTTTTATTTTTTATATATTAATTAATATATATTATATATATATATATATATTTATCAGACTTTGGATGAAACTATTGTCAAAATAGTAATCTTTTTGAGCTCTTTCTTTCAATCCATCACTAGTCATTATGAAGAACATTAATTTATCATTTTTGAGACCAATTAGAAAAGTTCGAATTATTTATTCTTTTTAAAAAAAAATTTAAAGAAATTTTTTAAATAAAATCAATAAAACTATTTTACTTAGTAAAGTTCATCAAAAAAAGCTTTTTTTCTTTTTCAGTCAATTTTCATGACAACTGTTAAAATGAGCTTTTTTAGTTTGACTTGAATGAATAGAGAAGGTAATAGGATGTGACTCATTATGAGAATAGATCCCACTGTTTTAATAATGAATTAACTCTTGTTCTGAATTCTACTTTTAAGATTGTAGCATTCTAGGGAAGATTTATCCTTCCCTGATTTTTCAAACAAATCTTAAAAGTTTTAGGGAGAATGTGAAATTTCTTCTTTAAATTTGGAATATAAAAGAACCTGTTCATTTTTTCCTTTTTCATTAATGGCATTTATCACCATAAAGGTCTGAACTCCCTGTAAATTAAATAATGGAGTTCTCATATGAACATTTGAAATGAAAAAAAAATATATTGTTAAATGTTATTTAAATTCCAATATCATTTAAAAATGGTTTTTTTTTGTATGGAATATACATTTTAAAATTTAAAAAAAAAATTAATTTATTAAGAGTCATATTTAAAATGTACATTCTTTATATAACATTACAGACTGTTTCACTATACTCACATTGCATTTCATGTTACAGCAAGAAAATATTTAAAATAATTTTTTTTTTGTCCAAGATAAAAATTCTTAATGGCTTTATATATTCCTTTTAAAAAAATTATATGAAGGACAATAGTTGTAAGCATTTTTCTTTTTCAAGTAAGAAATGATCAGAAGAAAAATCAAATTAAAAGAATTAATTGCCATGTGCTGGTTTGAACCCCTCAATATATTTTTACAGAAAGCATTTGAATTTTGCAGTTTTTCTGTGTCTCTGTATCTTTTCTTTTTGATTTTATTCAAAATTTAAAGGTTAAACTATCACTGATCAGTAGTTTGCAAACAAATATAACATATAACATTCTGTTTTACAAACAATAACATTATGGATTTAAAATTAAAAAATAATATTTAAAAAAGGTGACCAAAAAAATTATTCAAAATTTTCTAGTTAAATTTTTTTTTAATATTAAAATTCTTGATAATGACTTGTGATAATTCAAGACCTAAAAACAGAATTATGAACAAACCTTATCAGTCAAATTCAGTTAAAACTACATTATATAATTAATACACAATAAAATTCCAATTCACCTCATATGGAGAATAAGTTTATAAATTGTGAAAAAATAGAATTTGTTAATTTTATTCAAAATGGTATATTATTAAATATATTGACAGTTTTTGTGGATGAGTTTTAATATTTGAATATTGTAGGATCAACATTTAAAATTATATACCAACAAATTTATTACATTTTATTATATATATATATATATATATATATATAAAAATATAAAAGTGAACATAAAAATCAAAACTTAGAACAACAGTCTGTTTCATGCTTTTGCAATTGTCAGCTAATATTTTTTTAAGCATGAATCTAAAATGTTTTCAATTGAAATATAAAATAATAGAAATAATGAATATATATATATAATTATATATATATATATATATATATATAATGCAATATAAATGGGATTTTATGTTTAATATTCATATTATTTTTATATTAAGTAGGTATCATTGTATATATATATGTGTATATATATATATATATATATATATATATATATATGTTATATTTAATGACAAAACATATGTTTGGATGTACCATTACAGGTGTGTGTTTGTGAATGTGTATTTTGTATGTGTATGTATTTTTTTTAAAAATAAATATTTAAATATATATGTATTCATATTTTTATATATCAAGCATTGAAATCTATTTGATTAATTTTGTTAAAACTGTATACAGCCTAATTTAGATGTATTCCCTTAGAATTAATATTTGTAATATATTTGTGATTAGATGTATAACATTGTAATATAAATACTCTCCTTTCCATTTTTCCTTTTCTTTTCTCCCCACTACCCTCCCATTCCTATATATCATTTCCGTTAAGTTAACCATCTAAATAGGTCACGATTAGGTCACTTCTCCTACCCCAATATAAAACATGCTTAAGAGAAATATGAAATTTACCCCTCCCTACACTCTACCTTGTCTCGTTGATCACCCTCCCTGTTAAATTACAAAAATTACACTACCCATCAATTTCTAATCCCATTTTTCCTTTCATTTCATTGTTGGAAGTGTTACCTGATGATCCGGAGTCCTTCAAGAAGGATTTTGGTGAAATAAATTATTGTAATGGTACCTTAAAGTGGTCTGTTTCTTCATTAAATATATATATATATATATATATATATATATATATATATGAATAACAATGACAAGAGGAAACCTATGCTTCGTCTTAGCTGACATGTTTCGTCATCTGACGGACTTTATCAAGGCAAATGTAAAGATTTTATTTTACAACAAGTATCTATTTGTCAGTTACTCAAAATTTTTAAATTTAAAAGTTGCTCATAAATATTTATCAGGTTAACTGAAATGTTTAGGTATTAGACATTAGATTTTAGGAAAAAAAAAAGACAGAAAGAAAGAAAAAAAAATTCTTTCCAAAGATGTTAAGTCTAATACCTAAACATTTCAGTTAACCTGATGAACATTTATGAGTGTCTTTAAATTAAAAAATTTTAAGTAACTGACAAATAGATACTTGTTGCAAAATAAAATCATTACATTTGCCTTGATAAAATTCGTCAGATGATGAAACATGTCAGCTAAGACTAAGTATGTTTTCTCTTGTTTTTTTTATTCATTTTGTCTCTTCTACAGATACACCACTCCATCTGAGAATATATATATAATATATATATATACATACATACATACATACATACAGACAAACATTCTTTAAAACAAATATAAAAGACAACAGATATTTTGTGTCAATTTTAATGTTTGACTTTTACAAATTACAAAATTGTTCTCAGACAAGGAGAAAATTATGTCAGAAATTTGGAAAAGTCTATCATTAAAATTAATCAACACAAAATATCTGTTGTTTTTAATAATACTAGGTTGACCAGAAAGTCCTGACTCACTTAGGAAATGGAAAAGAAAACAACAAATTTTGATCTCTGTCTGGTGGAATTTTCAGGCTTGTTCCACATGGTCGTGCCATCAACGCTAAACCGTATTGTCAGCAGACTGCATGTATGTCAAACTAAAAAAGGAGTATCCTGCTTTGGTCATCCGAGGCTGGGCTTTATTTCAGCAAGACAGTGCATGGCCACACACTGCCAGGTTTACTAAGAAGTTCAAACAGATGGATTGTGTTAAGATTCTTCCAGATCCACCATTCAGTCCCAATGCTGCTTTGACTATGTCCTCTTCCACTCATTGGCACACTTCCACTCCAACCATCGATTCAACACTTTTGATGAAGTGAAGGTAGCTTGTTTACAGTCTTTTTATTCAAAGCCAGCGAACTGGTATCTGGGACAGATTTGGATGTTGGCTGATTGCTTACAGAAGATCATCAAGAATGATGGACTTTATTTTGAAGAATAAATGTTAGTGTTGCTCCATAAAATTTTCTTGTTTTTTATCATCTTCCTAAGTGAGTCAGGACTTTCTGGCCAACCTAATGTTTGCCTTAAAGAATATATATTCTTTGCTTTAAAATACATAGAATACATATACGTATGTATGATGTAAATAATTATGCCTATGCATTTAGACAGTCTGCAAGCATAACTCCTGCAATGACAAATGGTTCATTTAAAAAAAAAAACACAGAATAAAATAGTCTTTTCTTGTGAGACTTAGAAAATTAACCAATACTGACCTTAACATTGCAAATTGGCTCTAAAACTTGCAGAATTTCATCTTTTACACAACCGCTACAAATCAAGGAACAAATAAGATTTTTAATCCACTTTCCATGATCGTCATGTGGTGGGTTCCATAGATTAGGGTCATCAATATTGATATTATTTACAACAGGTCTCAAAGAATCAGAACTTCTTTTCTGAAATGAAAGCAATTTTGGTAAATATACAATTTAGGATTGGATATTTTTTCTAAAGCTTAAGAAAAATGTTTTATATTTGGATCATATTGTGAAAATATTTATTACAAACTTTTGAAAGCATTGTCCTATTTTTTAAGTTGCTAAAAAAAAAAAACAAAAAAAAAAAAAACAAACATCCAAAAGAAGATGAATGATTTAAAAGAAACACTTCAATTTTCATTGAGGTGCATACAAAAGTTTCCAGTGACTTTTTATTAATTTGATGATTTGAAGAGAGTGCTGAGAACGTTTGTACATATCTAATATTATGATGTTTACACCAGAAAAATCTTCTGGTTGTTTTCCAGTTTTAGGTTTAATCTTTTTGACACCACAAATTAACATTTATACTGTATATACTCCCATATCATGCAACTTTTGAAGACCTAATTTTGCAGCTAATTTTAAAGAGGTTGCATCATACACAAGATATAAAATTAGTGTATATACTGCCAACTGTGGCTATGTTGTTGAACAAAATATATATCCATTTACTGTATTCAAATTAGCTACAAAATTAAGTCACCAAAAATCGCATGATACATGAGTATATATGGTATTAGCAATATTTTCTATCAGGAATCTTGAAGCTATACTATAAAAGTAAGATTAAACATTTAGCATGGATTTTGTATTTTACATTTTAGAGACAAGAGGATCTTAAAAAACCAATAAGTACTCCTCCACAAAATACAATAATAATCATGCTACTGAATATCCTCATAAAAAAATTGATTTATGAAGTGAAAATAAAGGACAATTTTATCTTTTTCACAATAACTTTACTTTTCCATTATTACTGGCAATTGTTCAGGCAATGTCATAATTTTTTTTATATTTCTTAACAAAGAACTGATCCAGGTACTTTTTGCAGATTTTCAGGAAATTCATTTTTTTTTTTTTTTTATTCAGAGATTGGGATAAATCCAAAGATTCATTATCTGATCACTCAGCAGGAAGAGGCCTACTATTCAGTATCCAAAAATAAAGTTTGTTTGGTTTATAACGTAAAAAGAAAATAATTTTTCTTTCACACATTAACTTTACTGAAATATTGTTCCATCATCACTGGCAATCTATCAAGAAACTTCATAATTCTATCTTCACAGAAATTTTTAACTTTTCTTAGTAAAGAACTAACTTACATGCATTTTATAGTCTCCCAGGAAACATATCTTTTTTTTATTAAGACAATTCTGTAAAGACTGGTATAAACAGTAATAATCAAAGAGTATAGTATTTGATGAATTGAGTCGATGAGTGAAATCTTTTCACCAAAGAAACATACAGTGAAAGATTATTCTGATGGAATATTACACCTTTTCTTTCACTGTCCCATTTTATTATGAGAATCAAATGTTTTTATAATAAAATTGGTATTAATGAATTGTTGATAAAATTTTCAGGATATATTTATATACTAGATAAACTATGTGAATTATTGTGCATGTGTTTTTAATCAAAATGTTAGCAGTAAGTTATTTGGAAATGTGAAATTTTATTAAGCAGCCCACAGGTTATTCATCAAATTGCAAATAAAACATGTAGATGAAGAAAAAAAAAATATATATATATATATATATATATAAAGATATAACCTCAAAAGAGAAAAATAAGATAGTAAAGTTATGATGAGAAAGAAAAAATGCCATATTGGCAATTGCAAAAAAATGTTGAATAGAACAAAAAAGAAGAAATTGAAAATACTGGCAAGATAAGAACAAGAAAATTCTTTTAAAGAATGATACAAAGAGATTTAAGAAAATCTAAAAAGGGTAACAAGTAAGAAAAGTAGGTTGATAAGCAAGAAAGTATTTGCAGAAGCTGGTGTTATGAATGCAGACATAAAGAAAAAATGCAGAATATTAAGAACATTGGCTAAAGACATAAAAGCAACACAACTACCACATCACAAAGAGAAACATATAAGTTGAACAAAAAAAAAAAATTCTACTCATACAATAACAATAAAATAAAATTCAGAATAATATAGGTTCATACTTTAGAAAATCTACAATTTGTAACTTTTTTTTATATCTACATGAAGAAAACTTCACTAAAAATCTTTTGCAGTATCATAATTATTCCATATATAACATGAAGAAAGCTTACAAATCAACAAAAACAAATAAGAAAACACTAATAACCTTGACAAAACTATGTACATAATACTACTTACCAATTTTATAATGACTATAATTAAAAAAAAAAAATTATCCAATCTTAAAATAAAATTTATCACAACTACTTCAATAAAATAAAAGACGTAATGAACTCAAAATAAAATTAAATCTGAAGCAAGAAACAAAAATGTCCCCCAAAATACATCGTTGCAACATCTAGGAATTTAAGTAAAAAATTATATGAACAAAAAGGGATCTTTTACAGAACAATACTCTCAATACATGTTTATCATTTCTGACCATAATTTTGACTTAAAAAATGAAGTTTTAATTAAGAGAGAATGTAATTCATTAGAGTAAAAAATGCACTGTAATTTATTAAAGCAAAAGTGAACTAATCTTTGAATCTGTTATGGCAAATTTACATCCAGATCAACACAACTCATCTTTTTTTCACACAAAATTACACTTAAAACATGTTTTAATAATAAGAAAAATGTTGTAATAAAAACATGAATGAGTTAGGCTAAGTCAAAATCTACATGCATCAGACATTAAAATTTAAACATTGAATATCTTTGTATCTTTTTGATGTAAACAATAACCAACATTTGTTGTATTCACCCCCACCACACTTTCCAACATTTTTCTCTTTTTTTTAAAACATAGAATTTTTTTTTCTGAAGAAATTCCATTCCAAAACCAAATGTGTCACAACAAAATTTTTAATCTTGCCATTTATTTACTATTATTTTGATATATTTTTATGTCATGTTTTTTATTGAGTAGAATGTTTTAACTACTTTTTTTTATTATTTTTAAATAGAAATTATAACTTTTGGTACTTCTGCAATAAGTAGACATTCTTTATATTGGCCATATTCTAATTAGTGAAATTTTAAAAAAAAAGTACATATTTGCATTATTAATAGCAATCTTTTTAACAAAATAATTACTTAAATATCAATAAAGCCCGAATTTATAGACATTGAACATCCCCCCTCACCCCGACAAAAAATAGGATACCAAAGAACATTAATCTATAATATTATCTAATTTAAAAAAATGTTTTCTAGACAACCTACAATAATTTAAGAAATTAAAAGAAACATGTTTTAAGTTATTTTCAATTCACATTATGTAACCTCTTAGTGAACAGCTAAATTAATAGGAATTATTTTGGTTAATTGAAAGCTTTATACTAGGACAATAGATTAATGCTGTCAAAAAAATTTCAAAAGTACTTTAGATATAGCAATGAATTAATCAAACATATACAATAGCATTACTCTAAAAAAGATTGTCAATTTTTTTTTTTTTTTTTATCTTGGCTTCTTCCAAATTTGTTTCCTTTGAATCCCCATTGGGAAAGTCAGATATATTCTAACCTTGACAAATGGATGCAGGTAATTGTAGAGGAAATCAATCTTTGAAAGACAATTCTTGGTGAAATCTTTGCCTGTTTTTGTGCTGAGTATACTGGAAAGCACCTGACTTGCTGCCTGCACTGTGTTCAAACTACAAATAAAACAAAATCAACTAAGAGACAAAAATTATTGTACTAAACTGCACTTAATAACTATAAAAATCTAGATAAAAACATTTTAATATTCAAAAAATGCACCCACATTGTAATATAGCAACAACTCTAAATAGAAGCTTATGAAGCTTTATTTGATTAATTCAGCTTTAGCACTGAAAACGTTTATTATAGTGGAGGGGATGTGCTTATTTTATGACCACTCACATATAAGGAGAAGGGACATTTTTGTAGAGTTATGTTTCATTTAGTGGTACTTTGAACGTTTGTTAAAAGTTATACATTTATAACCTAGACATTTCTGTTAGTGTGGACTCTTAAATTCTGTAAAACTGATACTTGTTGGTTTTGTTTGAATATCACTTGGCTCACTGTCTAACAAATTTTGTTATGTGCTAGTTTAAAACATTTACAGTTACACATGCACTTAAGGCATATTGTTTCTGATGCATATGTACATTTCCAGTTGAAGCAATACAAACAGCCATGAATATAACTATTCTCAGTGTGCTATTTCTTTTAATTGATTTGTAGAGTTTTTCATTAAGAAATGAACATGACACACAAGGATGTCACATGGCACTTAGGAGAAAAAAAGAAAGAAAAAATGAGTGCTGTAACTGACTTCTTGATTGATTGATTGATTGAAATTTACAGCATATCAACCTCAATTGGTTATTTAATGCCAACAAAAATTTTTATTGCTGGTAATATTTTTCTTCAAAAACTATTTCTAGCAATATCCTTCCTTTTAAAATCGATTACAAGTAATATTTTCCAAAAATGTATTGCTGGTAACATTTTCTAAAAACATATTGCTGGTAATATTCCTTTACAAAGCTGTATTACTGATAATATGATTTTTCCTTCAAAATTGAACAAGAAATTTTATTGTCTCCAATAACAATTTTTCCTTCAAAACTATATTCCAGGGAACACCAGCAATTAAGAGGTGGTTCCATGCTCCTCAAAACCTCCTGATCAGAGGCCTGCTGTTGGATGTAGTTTAGCATCTTACCCAGAATGTGGATGTAGTTTAGCATCTTACCCAGAACGTGGATGTAGTTTAGCATCTTACCCAGAACGTGGATGTAGTTTAGCATCTTACCCAAAACGTGGATGTAGTTTAGCATCTTACCCAAAACGTGGATGTAGTTTAGCATCTTACCCAGAACGTGGATGTAGTTTAGCATTTTACCCAGGACTCAATGGAAAAAGGTTTATGGTTCAAAATTGATGTTATCCTTTTATTTATGAAATATGCAAACAAGGAAAACACTCAAAGAAATGATAAAGGGACACATGTTTTCTTAGAGGAGAATTTCAAACTTAGTAGTATGAAGCAGATAATTACCATGTTGCCTCTTTGACCAGCAGTAGCTAAAGAAAATGTGATATTTTACTCACCCCTAAGCAGTCGCATGGTAGCATGTTCGCAGAAATTACAGCTAAACACATATATCTGTCTATATTTCTGAGATGAGGTGTTGTAACTTTTTACATTTTTCGGACTGTTGCTCTCATCTTTATTATCATATTCACAACATTTTGGCTGTTGTATGCTCTGGCCTTCTTCAAGTGATATATGTTGGAATTTCAAACCAAACCTTTTATATCTTATTTCATCCACCAGGGTAGATTATTCTACTTCCACATGCCATGCCTTTTCTGGATATCTCAGTTTCAGTTATTTCCCTTTAGTAACTCAACTTGCCAAGTTTTTGTTTACTTCTGCTGTGGCTAGGTATTGAACTCACAACTCAGTCACTAGATTGCTTCAACCAACACTCTTATCCACGGCACCATAAACAGTCCAAACAATGTAAATAGTGTAAACACATGCATGTATGTATGAAAAATGTCTATTTTTATATCTTCACAGAATATTAAAAATTGTTGCTGATGTTACCAAGTAGCAATGTCTCTGAAGCCTGGTAATGCATATATCAGGTTCTTCAGCGGCCATTACAAGTGTCAAGGACACACTTCAGAGGTTAATAAATTATGGCAAAAGAGAAAGTCATTTATCATGAAAAAGGACACAAGTGTTTTGTACAATATGCCAAAGACAAAATAACCAAAATAAATAATAAGTCAGTGGCAGCAGTTGCTTTAAATGCATCTTGCTTTTCCATGTGTTTTTGTTTGCATGTGACTGTTGGACGGTGTGGGTGGATTTCTAACGGTTTACATGTATTGAGATTTTTTGACATTGGCCCTATGATTCATGATTAAACATTTCTTTCTGCCCCCCTGGATCTTCAAGTTGGGACTTGCAATTTGTTTGTTTCATTTTGAACTTGATTTTCTAACATAAATATTATTTTATTTACAAAAATAACACCATCAATAACATCAAGTAATCATATATAATTTCTACTGGTAACATATGCTGTTATGTAAGCATTTAAGTAACTAAATTAGCAGTAAGTGTACACTATTTACATTATTCGGACTATTGTCCACATCTTTGTCGCCATGTTTATCACAACATTTCAGCTGTTGTAGGCTCCGGCCTTCTTTAGGTGGTTGGAATGTCCAACTGAACACTTTATTTCGCTCACTGGGGTAGACTGTTCTAGTTCCACGTGCCATGTCTAATGGATGTCAGTTATCTCCTGTTAATCCCCCTCTGAAAGTTCTCCACTGCCTTAACCGGGTATTGAACTCACACTCTTTGGGTCCTGTCACTGGATCTAACTAACGCCTTTATCCACTGTGCCATGTGTCCAGTGAGTGAAATAAAGGGTTCACTTCGACATTCCAACCACCTGAAGAAGGCCGGAGCGTACAACAGCTGAAATGTTGTGATAAACATGGCAACAAAGATGAGGACAATAGTCTGAATAATGTAAATAGTATACATAATACCTCGTCTCAGAAATATAGACAGATACTGAAAGGACGAAACATTGTAATAAATATGGCAACAAAGATGAGGAAAATAGTCTGAATAATGTAAATAGTGTACATAATACCTCATCTCAGAAATATAGACAAATAGCAGTAAGTGTGTTAAACAGAAGTCTGAGTTCAATAAAAAGAAGAGAGATTTTAACTTTTATTTCTCTAATTATATTTGCAACTTTCTGCCACATTTAACAACACAGAACAATTAAAAGACATTTATTTTGCTGAAGTACGAATGTAGTCCAATGTAATCATTTCACCTTTGCCTTATTGAACAAAATTAAAGCTAATCTCAGTTATAATTTGATAGTCATACCATATAACATACTTTTACAGTTTTTGTATTAACAAATCCAGATTTTAAAGAGAAAATATATTTAAAATAAGATGAGGAAAAATGATAAGAACAAACCATGAATCTATTAAGTATTGATTGAGCCAATAGAAGATCCAAAAGTATTTCTGTTGTGAAGGGTGAGATTGGTAAATCCGAGATTGTTCTAATTGATAGCCATCATGATTCAGTCCTCTGTTATGTTGAGATGATGATGTCCAAGATGTTAAGTCAATAGGACCAATATCTCCAAGACAAGTGGCTGCAGCTTCTGCTACAGCTCCAGACTGGTTCTGAACAAGACGTGCCAATTCCTGCACAAGCTCACAGACTATATTTCCTCTATGTTCAGCTGGTAAGAGAAAGAAAACATTTATGCATATACATATATTGGTGGGTTGCTCCAAAATGAATGCCTCCTACAGTGGTCAATGACATTATAAGAGGATATTGGCAATATGGTAGAACCTTCCTACCAATAACCTATAATTTATTTTTGCCTTGTCAAAGATATCAGCTGAACAGCAGTCTTGTAAAATGACATCTGACCTTTATTCATTTCATGGGTTTTTCATTCCACAAGCTATGCTTAGGGGAGATAACTCGCATCAGTTAATACTCTCCAGTTTTATTCACTTTTGTGTCACTTGTCCATTTCTGACACTGAACCAGAGTTTGTGATTTTTTTTTTAGCATTACACAGATTGAACACAAAACTGTCAGGTAATCCATTATGTATTAACCAACATCTTAAAATCCTGAAACGAAATATCTCTCCTAAGTATGGAAAGTGAAATGAGCACAATCTAGCTCCAAGTTCCAGGGAATGAACAAAAGATTTGGTTCAAAATTCCAAGGTTTACAAATACAAAGACAGTTGAAGAAAGCCAGAGTGGACAGCAACCAGAATATTGTGAATATAACAAACAAGATAAGCATGCTGGTCTAAATCATATTTCAGTATACAGTTTGTTTTTTTTGTTTAGTTTTTTTTAGTGATTATTTTTATGAAGTGGAATTGCAAACTTTAGCTATTACTAACTTTTCCTGATTTTGAATTCAGAGTTGTCTTTCACCTTGGTTGCAAAACAAGGTTAGAAAGCCCAATCTGTCCTGCTACTTTATTCAAAGTGGGTAGGAGAATATATGGTTTCATGCCTTTGCCAAAAGCAATGGTATAAAGTAAATACAAACTGTCTTAGCCCAAATTTAAACCACATCTCCACTATAGGAAGCTAAACTTAATAAATATCAAAATAAGTGAATAAAAAAGAAAAGAAAATCCCACCTTTGCATTGATCCAATAAGATCTTTAATTCATTTGTACGAGTGCTGAGCTGACTGTGTAGGAATTTCAAGCCTTCTTCACTTCGGATATCTCCACACATTACAGTCTGGTGGCCATTCTTCAGGAAAGATTCCATTTCCTACCAAGGAAATTAAAATTTTTATTTTTTATTTTGAATTATTCTCTTAAGAACTGACTCCATATTTTAATCATGGATTTTAAAAAAAATAATTACCATAACAAAAAAAAATAAAAAAGGTACTTAAAAAACTGTCAATAAAAACAAAAAGATTCATTCTAGAAGGAAAAAAATATTTGTAGAAATGAAAAGTGTAAACTATTGGACAATAGTAAAAAAAAAAAACTGAGTCAGAAGTATATTGTATAATTAAAGTTATCAGACATATGGTAGATTTTAAATAAACTCTTCATTAATTTTTAAGTACATTTCTAATAAAGAAAAAATAAAATTTTAAAATTATTTATGTGTATGCATAAGAAGCATATGCTTTTTTTATAATTAGGCTACAGGCTTATGGATGAACCTACACATATATAATTGTTAAATGTTATAAGAAAAATTGTTAACATAACAAAAATCTTTTAAAAATAAATTATAATTATGTATACATTTAATCAGTAAAGAACAATAAATATGACTTAAAAGAGGAGACTTTCAGAAATTGTTCACCTACCTGAGCCAAAGTGAATTCTCCATGTTCATATTTGATAGAGTTATGTTTCTCACAAAACGAGCGCAAAACTTCTGTATCTGGGAAAGGATCCAACAGGAGGATTCCTGATTTTAACACATTGCTGTTGTCTATCACCACCAATTTCAGCAGATGCAACACCTGGGACAGATTCATATATAAATAAAATAACATAATTATGTCTGCAGAGAAAAAAAAAAAATCTGTTTTTGAATTTTTGTATTAATATTTTTTGCCAGCATGAATTACTTCAGATGTAAAGTGATTCCAAAAGATGTTAAGTAAATTAATAGATGAAGAGATTGCTCAATTGGTGCTCAGGATTTTGGGGTGGTTATCTTGTAGTGGTGATATACTTATTTTCCTGAAACTTTACCTAATGTTTGAAATTGACAGGATTACAATAAAAATATCGATATTAACAAGATTTTGTAAAGATTATACATGAAAAAAATATTATATGTAAAATTGGATTAATCTAAGAGACCAGAATCAGACTTTCCCTAACCCACTGGAGGATATCAATAACAAGTCTATGTCAAGATGATAATTTGTGGAAAACATTAGCATAAAATGATGCAAACTGTAAGAATGTCAAAATATTATTTTCTACACAAACAAGATTACAGGATACATACATCTTCACTGAATGTGAAGCCAGTGGAATATGGAAGTAAAGCATGGGTCACTTGAGGGAGATATTTGCAAAACTCCTGGAAAGAAAGAAAAAAATTGTATTTTACGGAATTTAAATGAATTTACTTGAAGAAATAAAAAGATTAAAGTTCTTGAATCTATTTTAGTCTTATTAATTTTAGATGCATGTTGTGATGTAATGGATAAGAGCTTAAAATGAGAAATTGAAGAACAGAGTTTGAATTCCACTTAGGTTTGTTAGATTTATTTATGAGTAAATACCCTTGGGAAAGGTATGAATTGCTCTCTTCTTCCTTAAGCTATGGGTTGAATAGCAGCACAGATTGGATCCTATGGTCTTGGTTGGCAACCAGTCTACCACAGAAAGAAATGGCAACCTACTGCAGGAAAATCTTCTGCCTAGTCAGTCATGAATCAAAAGAGACATGATTGACCAAGCATGTATCATGTATGGCACTTAACCATAGAACACTAACCATAGGTATATAGTACCCAGTGCAAATTTTCCTATTTTTAATTACAATTTTCAGTACCTGATTTTCTTACCTAAATAATATGTTTTTCAGTTCCTATTAATGTTAACTCAAAGTACAAAGTTTGAAGTGCCTGCATGTAAAATATTTCAAATAAATATTTATATTTAATATTTTTTTGATATTTTCAAAATTGGGTATGATATACCCATGGTTAGTAGTGGTGTAACTTTAATTGATGGTTTTTCTCTCCTAGGGTTAACTGACTGAATTTTAGATGGAAGATTTTGATAGAATGAAAGTTAAAATAAATAAACAACTTATATCATTTTTTTCTAAATTTTAAATGTAATCAGCTACATAAATATATTTTAATCATTTTACCCCAAGCAAGGCAATAAAGTCATTAAGAATATGAAAAAAAAAAACACTATTAAGAAGAGAGAGAAATAAAAGAACAGGAATTAAGAAGACAAAAGATAACAATTGATCATTACATTTAAATTTTTGAAGATCAAAATTTGGAAGAGAGTTCCACAAGCGAGAAATGTGATAGAAGAAACTTTTAGCATAGAACTTATGGTTATATCAACTTTAAAAATGATGAAACATTGCCACCAATCTAGTACTATATATTATATAAATAAAATAATGTATAGATATATATATATTGAACAATAAAAAATATTAAAAAATTACAATCTTCAGACACACTGGGTCGTATATTATTATTATTTCATTTAGATTCCTCGACTAGTTTCAGCCAACATGGCCATCATCAAGAGAAAGAATTTTCTGCTTACTGGTAGCAGTGAACTACAGAAATGAATGTCTTGATGGAGAAAATTAACTTTTGTCTGTAGTTTTCATTTGTTTTTTATTTTTTTAACATGAATTTTGTTCAGTCCTTGTGTTGGACAAACAGTCTCTTTTAAGTTGTTATTTGAGATAAGAGCTGGATGGATTCATGCTGCTCTGAATTCCCTTGGTTATTTAGACATTATTTGTCATTTATTATATATATATATATATATATATATATATAAAAAACACACTCTCTCTCTCTCTCTCATTTGTGTGTTTGTGAAAGAGAGGTCTGTCCAAAAATGATAATGTAACAAAACTGAGCCAGAAATATATTGTACAGTTAAACTGTTGTCAGAAATATGGTAGATTCTAAATGAACTTTGTTCAGAAATGATCCTATTATTTTATTTAAGAAAAAGTGAGCCTACCTAGGGCAATGGCAACTCACTTATTCCAGAAGTTTTTTCACTTTTAAAAAATGTTTGCAGTCTTCTTTCAGGATCACCATACACATGCCTTGTTACATTCACCTTAATCTTGTTCATGGTCTTAAATATCTTCTCTTTCAATGATGATTTTAATTTTAGTAAAAAGCCAGATGTCATAGAGAGCCAAATTTGTACTGAAGGGAGTCTAACAGTGCTGAGTGATGTGATGTTTTGCTTAAAGAATCAATATAAGATGCAAAGAATTGGTAGTCAACATATTCAATATGGTGAGATATTTTCCAGACTGTGGAATCCTCAGATTTTTTTTGAGTTTTGAAAAGGTCAATCATTGTTTTCCTTTGATTGTAGCCAGCACATCTTTTGGTGTTCTGATTATGGAATGCTTTCCAGAATCTTGATCCCATTCAATGGATTCCCAGCCTGAATTTGAATTAGCAGTACCAAAATTTTATCTGAACTTTAATTAGGGAATCATCCTGAAAGATTTCTTAATCATTTGAAAATTTTTTTTATATATTTTCTGTTCAACTTGCCCAGTCATTGTGAATGTGATGGTAGCACTATACACACATGCAATCACTAAATGGCATCTCACTGGAGAGTGTCTGTTCATGCATGTGCAGTAAGAACCTCTCTGATTGATTGATTGTTAAGTTACATCAAGGATGCACAACCAATTCTTGAGATATACAAAATGGCTGGAGACTTTTCAGACACACAAAACACAAAAGAAACAATAAAAAGTAGATTAAAAACACATTTTTAGGTGTTAAAAATGAACAGATACTACATTTTGATCTGAGAGAAAAACTGAATAAAAATCATTATTAAACAAAACTTAGAAAATTTGTGATGACAAAGCTAATACATACAAAACAAACATTTTTGACATTATTAATTTCTGTTCAAATTTAAAAGTGCTTACCTGTGGGCAGTTGGTAATAGCTTGTTTGCTGATAGTCTCCACCAAGTGAAGGCCTCGAACAATTGTGTCCTCTAAATAGCCTAAGTCATGGGAACATTCAACACCACTAAAATTAAACAGCAAGAGATTTGAAAATAATTTCCAAATCAGATTATTATTATTATTCAGTGAGCACACAACACAATCTATTTTGGTGTAATATCTTATATATAAAACACAATGTGACTTCATATATTTATCAGTCAACCTATTTTATCAGTGGCCAGTTATCCTGTTATAGTAACATGAGGTATTATTTGACACCACTGAAGGTGAACATGCTATGTTTCCATAACAATGGAATGTGTTGTTACTAATAAATAAGACAGAGTTGCTTATATTGCTTTTTACTTCTTTTGTTACGTGTTAGGTTTTTGTTCTTTTTAATATATTTTTACTTATAGGGATTTAAAAAAACAAAATTCTTTTTTTTTGATGATCATCAATACTCAACAGAAAGTTGTAATCAAAGGAGACAAATTTAAATTGCTTTGTTTTAAATGGAACCTTACAGTATAAAATAAAATATGGCAATAAAATTGTTATATGATAATTCATATATATAAAATGTATTATGTTTTACTAAATTCATATATATATATAAAATGTAATGTGTTTACATATGCCCTGACATGTCAAAGGTCATGGAATAGCAGTATGTAAATGCAATGGTAGGTGGTTTGTCTTTTACCTTTACACATCAGTTTATATACATTTTTATGTGTATAACACTTTTCTGCATCACAAATTCTTGTCATTATTCCCCAGGTGATACAGAAATCATCATTATGCAATAGTGAACAGAATGTTTTTTGTTTAGTTGTGTGTGGTTTTACTGCTTATCAATCAGTATAATGGGAAGTTTATTACCTTCATAGTTGAGGACAGGTTATACAAGAAAGATAGATTAAATGTATGCTCCCTTTGCTAAGAACAAAAGTCCTGATTGATAAACTCTACTGATATATGATTGATCAAAATCCTGCTTTCTATACATGCTGCTTTTTCTACAATTGAATATTAATCAGAAAAATAAATTTATTTCTTAAATACAACCCTATCTTTTCCTCTTTTTTGATCTTGATTAGAGAGAAAAGGAAAACAAAATGTGATAAAATCCACAAAATGAATTATGGTGTTGCAACTAGCAGAAAATAGAGCATCATCCCAATGTGAAGAAAGAAGAATCTGATAAATATTGTGATTAAAATGCGTATAAATAAAGACCAAGACAAAGCACCAAATTAAATTTTAATGATGCTGCAACGAGCAGAGAACATGGAATCCCAAAAGGTGGAGATAAAAAAATCTGTTAGAAAAATAGATAAGAAAATCAAGTAGATATATCAAACTGACATATAAATATGTCAAAATTGATGTACTAGTTGCTGCAATTCCTGAAAAGAAGGTGGTGTAGATACCATAATAGTTATTGGTACAGAAAATGGAATCCAACTGAGCCAAGTACAAATTCTGGCCAATTCTGATGTGTTCACTTTACACTAGTGACCTTGGGAGAGACATAAAACCATCTCTTCTATCCCAGCTATAGGTTAAATAGCAAGGTAGAGTGGGCTTTGTAGCTTTGGGTATCAGCCAATCTAGAAGATTGACTCTGAATTCAAAACTACAGAAGTGGCAATGAGAAAACAGTATCTTTTTCCTAAAAGTCATGGCAATTCATAGATAAAGAAGAAAAAGAAACTGTGGAGATTTATTTTTGGAAGATTTTTTAATAAAGAGAATTACATTGAGATGAAAGATGATGAAAAAGGGGCATTTATCAGCTATTTTATCAAAAAAAAAAAATTTCAATTTGAAATACATCAGAGTATTTTGCTTGCTTACTGGAAATAGTAAATTCAATCCTTTAGCTTTCATTTAAACCTAAAATGAAAGCCTTTTCATTTTTAAAAATTAATTTTAATCCTTAGGTATTGCAGATTAATGGTGGTACCTACTCTACTGTTATTTAGTTGTGCATTTTCAAATTCAAGTTCAGGTTATAGACAATGGCAATGTGGAATCTATTTTCATTTGGTAATTCTTGAGTTTCTTTCAGAACTGACAAAGTAGATTAAAATCAGCAAATAGACTACAAAACTGACATTTTGCAGCTTTTAAAATGTGTGCATGCACAAAGATGTATTAATGCATGCATTTTAAAGACAGGAAACAATTTACTTACTTGGTGATCTGTAGTGCAAGATTTTTAATAGTGTGAAGCAGACGGTAGATGACTTCCCGCATAATATAATCTCTGCAACCACCCAGGGAAGTGTTGAATTCTTGCAAGAGAAGCTTCACAAACAGTTCATACCTACAGATAGCACGGTATTGTTCTGAAAGAAGGGTGCAACCACCCAGATGTACAGCCAAAGACTGGAGGATTTTTTGAAAATTTTCCTACAAATTTAAAAAAAAAAGAAAAAAAAAAGTAATTTTCATGATACTTTTAATTAAAAGAACAATATAAAGAATTGCTTCTGTGAAGATATAAGAAATGTATACATACTGGTGCCTTTGAGAGAACATAAACAAGTGATTTTTCACCAGATGATGACAAGTTACCATCCGTGAAGCTAACAGTTAAAAAGTTGAGTGTTGCCATGATAACATTATAGCTGTAGAAGGGAGGATTTGGACTGGGGTCAGACACACTAAAAAGATAAAAAAAAAAAAAAAAAAAAGATATGGATTCTGAAAAGGACATGTAACAAGTGCTGGATAATAGAAAAACAAGGAGTATCAAAATTTACAAAAAAAGTAAAAAAGAAGTTGAGAAAAAATACAGGTCATGCATTCAAGATTATTACAGAAAGGTTATATTTTGTCAATCTCAACTGAAATTGAAAAAAATTCAGGAAAAAAGGTGGTATTAAAATGTATAGATTATAAACCTTTATATTAATATTACATTTAATATTACAAGCAGTATAAAAAAGATGTAGTATGAACTGAATGTAGTTGAAAAGAGAGAAAAGTATTAAAATCTAAAACAGAATTTCTAAAAAGTTCAAACTGTTGATCTCATTCTTTTTGCTTTAACTAAAAGATTTTGGCTGATACATTCTCTGGCCTTTCTCAGAGGCACAATTTATATGAAAGAAGCTGATCTCTTTTGTTTTCCAGATAATGTCCATCAGTAAAACAGAAGAAAATGATAGACAATATACCAATTGAAGCAAGTGATTATTCCAAGACAGGTTAGCAATAAAAGCAACAAGAGTGTGATCAATAGTTTGACAACACTTGGAATGATAATAACTCATCATAAAGTTATAGAATGTAATCAGAAAAGTGTTTTAATAAATTTGGTAAAGACTTTAGGGCACAACATTTTTGATAAAATTGGGAATTAAGTTTTTAAACAGATAATCTGTGTAGGATGTGTGGCATGGTGAGGTGTCGTGTAATAGATAATGGCTTGGAATGAGAGCTGAGAGAGCAGAGTTCAAATTCCAGTCAGGTTCATTACATTCACTTACATGCAAATACCCTTCATAATGGTATCAATCTATCTTTTCTCCCCACAGCTATGAATTGAATAGCAGGACAGAATGGGTCCTATAGCCTTGATTGGCAACCAGTCTACCACAGAAAATAACAGCAACTTACTGCAGGACAATCTTCTGCCTAGTCAGTCATGAATCGAGAGAGACATAATTGTCCAAGCATGTTATCATGTATGGCTTTTAGCTGACTGACTTAATCTGAACAATCTATTTATTAGTGGGTCAGTGGCAAAGAAATACAACCTATATATAAAGAAGACCTAGCTGAAGGAAAGAATTTCATCAACCCAAGCATAGTTGTTGATCTAGTTGAACTCTCTTTTTCTTCTTTGATCTCAGTTAAGAAAGAGAGAGAGAGAGAGAGTTCAAACTAATCATCTAACCCTTGTAAAAAATTAACTTTTAGCTTATGCTTCTAAATGCTTACATTTACAAAAAGACACATTTGTTACACAGAGATATCTGGCATTCCATTTAGTTTATATGCTATATTATTTTTGTCCTAAACAATAGAAAACACCCTTGAAAGACAATTAATTCTAACCCAAAGAATAAATACATATATGCAAACAGACTGTCTATATTTCTGAAATGAGGTAATTGTAATTATTTACACTATTTACATTCTTTGGACTGCTGTCCTCATCTTTGTTGCCATATTCACAACATTTCTTCTGTTGTACATTCCAGCCTTCTTCAGGTGATAGGAATTTTGAACTGAACTCCTTATTGTGTCCACCTGGGTAGATTGTTCTAGTTCCACATGGAACTGAAGAAGGCTGGAGCATACAATGACCAAAACATCGTTAATATGGCAACAAAGATGAGAACAACAATCTGAACAATGTAAATAGTCTAAATAATATGCAAAGAGATGTTTGAATATGTACATAATATTCATTATCATTTTGGAGTGTTTACAGCTACTCACTGAATTGATGTCATATCACTGAGCATCCAACAGAAATCCTTTATGTATACAGCACAAATATTAGTTATACAAATCTCAGCTGATTCAACTTCACACCAAATGACAAACAGCAAAACAATGTTAATGAATTGCTTAAGTATTTATCAAGGTTCAGAGCTGCATCCTTTAGTTTGAAAGGAAATTGTGACTGCAAACCCAATTATGTGTGTTGTTATGAATCATAAGAGAATATTTAGGTTGTAATGTAGTACTCCATTCAAAAAAATTATTGGTTCTAATTCCATAGTGGAATAATTGCAAAATACTTACCCCTCCCCAATTTATAGGCAGAACCACACAAATGCATTCTGAGATTTCTTCCTAGCCAATGTCTAGGTCTGTTTTGCCTTGAAGTCAGAATGCTACATTTGTTTATCTGAATTTGTTCTTGCGTATCAATCACAATTCTTAGCTTGTGAACTTTTTGCCATATTACTGTTAATTTGCCTTGCATATTTTGTTTGATTGCTTTATATTATTTTTACCCTCTTTTTTTTTTCTTTCTTGTTATTGTTTATTACAAACTTTGTCAATTCTGTTTTTTGGGCAGTTCTTTTATTTACATTTAGCCATGGCCACTTATTCTACAAGAATGGAGCAATACTAAATACAATTAGAATATTGGTTATTATTATTATAACTGATGATACTTCATCTAATAGAGTCAAATAACATTAGAATATTGACGTGTCTCTGATAGATGGAGTGATTAGAAAATAAGGAGTCTTTTACTTAGGTCTGTTGCGTTTCTCTTCAAGACACAAGAGAATTTCAACAACTTGCTCAGAAAGTCGTTTTTGGATGTTTTGTTCAATGTCCTGCAAATGGAAAATAAAAAGGATTCTAAGTGAAATTTTATAATTCACTTAGATATACATAACAGTTATATAAACATTGACCAAGTTAATACTTTCTTTTTATGGTAAAAACAAAAAGCCTTATAGAAATAAATTTAAATAGCATAGAATACTAAATCAGTTTTCTCATATCTCTTCTCATAAAAAAAAACAAGGTAGAAACATTTGGTATAAATAAAAAATAAAGTATGAATAGTAGCTTGAATGACAGAATTTATTATTTAATGAAAATAGCACAAAATACATCATAAAATGATAATATAATACATAGAATGATAATATAATACAGACATAGAATTATTTTAACAATTTCAATACTGCAGTTTACGAAGTAGTTACTTCGTTCATAATCATGGTGATAGTTTTAGTAACATTTTCTGGTGTTTAGAATTTATCGCAGAAACAATTTTTGTATAAACAATACTGAATTACCTCCCTTACATTTCTTTAACTAATCTGTTTCTATGCTCTCTTTTGGAGTTAAAAAAAAAATTATGTATCAGAAATAATATGAAAAATAACATCCGAAATGCAATATAATTTGTATCAATTATTTTTCCCTAAGTAAAAACAGAAATTTAATCTTTGTGAAGAAAAATTCATGGATATATTTCAATTTATTATAGGATGATATTTGAGACCAATTGTAAGAAAAAAATGTCCTTGTTTTGACTTCTAAGAACATTTCATTTCCACATATCTTTTCATAGAAGATGGAAGTAATTCTTGGCTAGTACCAATTTGTTTTCATAATTTCATTCTGTATCAATTTCAAAATGATTCTACTATTGTGTTTAATAATTTAGAGGTTATGCATACCCTCACCCAATTTGCTTAGGTTTTGATATGCAGCTAGTTAAAGATATACAAGAGAAGTAATCCGGTGTTTGTTATGTAAAAATCATTTTGAGATGAATTCTTCACAATACCCAAAGTTTCTCTTACAATCAGGGTTTTCAGAAGCCCCAACATATTCAACCTACCTCTTTGGATATGTGTTTTAAAAGCAATTTGTAATGCTCAGAAGAAATTTCAACTTTCTTTTGCATTTTTTCATCATGCACTTGGTAATGGCTGACAGCAAAATATGGAAGAATGTGCACCATTAATTTCAGTACACATTGCTTTAATTCTGCTGATAGCCACTGGTCACCCATTTGCCTGATCAAGTTTGCTTCAATACCAATTTCATGCTTAGTCAGCATCAAGAATGGGAGACAAACTTTTGGGTACTTCCTAGAAATAAAGGTTTAAAAAAAAAAGTATTGATTTTGATTGAAATTTTTAAAATATTTTTTTTAGTGATTTAAAAATTCATAGAACATAAATTTTAATTTTTGTTGTTATTACAATATGCAAATATATTTGGCTGACCTGTGACCTATATTGGTCTATTATCTTTCTAATAAAGAGTATTTAGATAAATTTAAAATGTTGATATATGAATAAATTTAATAACTGTAGAATGGGAATTAAGTAATCACGTAAAAAAATATATCACTTTTTAATTACTGTTATTTTTATTTAATAGGAAAATTGTTATCCATTTCAATAAGAAAACTCATTATCCTTGACTTAATATTTGAGTAAAATCCTGAGCAATTTTAAAAAAGATATTATTTACACTATTTACATTTGGACTATTGTCCTAATCTTTGTTGTTGTTATCACAACATTGCAGTCATTGTGCCCCCAGTTTTCATCAGGCATATATCAACCAATGTAACCTGTAGGGAATTCTGAACTGAATCATTTATTTAATTTACGAGTATAGACTATTCTTGTTCCACTGCCCATGTCTAGGGATATCTCATCTAGTTCTTATAAATTTTATATTTATATTTATCTTATAAATTTGTGATAACAACAACAAAGATGAGGACAAGAGTCTGAATGTAAATAGTGTAAATAATGGTAACATTTCATCCCTGAAATTCAGATAAGAAAAAAAACAAATTAGTGTAAAAATTATAAGACTGTAATAAAAAAAACAATGAAAACATATTAAATTAATTATTAATTTGGATATTATCTACAAGTTTTAATATCTTTTTGTATTAATTGATCTATTTACATATAATATGCAAGTTTTGCTTCCCCACCCTGTATATATGATCATATTTTCTTGTTAGATTATTTTAAAGAAAGAAAATAATAAAAGAAAAAAAATGAAAAATGGAATTTTTTGGAGGGGGAAGGGGTTGCAAACATATATCAAAAGGGGAAATTCAAAACATAAATACATTTCCTCTGCTAAGAACATAAATATAACTTACATGTAAAAATCCATTTCTGAAGAACAGTCAAGGAGTTGATAAGGGAATTTGGCCATTCCAAGATGGTTACTGAGCCATTTATTGATCAAAAATGGAAGATGACTAATAATAAGGTCTTTAAGACTGGAATATCTCAGTTGCTGAGCAGCAAGAGAGAGAACCTGTAAAGATAAAAGCCAGAAAGTTAATGCATCCCATTCTCAAGGAACTGCTGACTTCCACCAAGAATTCAAGGTCAAGAGGAAGAAAAAAAAATTTTGGATTCATTTTTACTTACTTTCATTGTCAATTTATTTTTTCTTTGTTCTTTTAAAAAATTATTTGCAATTTTACCCTCTCCCTCTTTTTCCTTCATTCTATCTCTCTTTTGTCCATCATCTTACTTTATCTTTCTTGAAAACTTCTTACCTCAACCCACTTCCCAAACATCTGACCAAACATTTTTGGAATTATCAAAAGTGGAGGAGAGTCTCAAGGGATAATTTGATACATAGCTTCCTTGTGTCTTTTCTATAAATACTTTTATGGTAATTGTTCTGATGAACTTTCCTCTATGGTACTTAAACTTTATGAATTTAAGTGCAGTACTAGATCGTCAGAAAGGTTTCATCATTTTACAGTTGAAATGTCGAGATGGAACCATAAGTTCTATGCTAACAGTTTCTTCTATCTCACTTCTTGCTTCCCAGTCAACTTTGATCTTCAAAAATTTAAATGCAATGTCAATCATTATCTTCTGTCTTCTTGTTCTTTTATTGTTCTCTCTTATTTTTCTCATATTTTCTCACACTCAGTAACCCCTTGCATCTTAGTAGCTTTATTGCTTTGGTCAGGGTGAAATGATTAAAAAAAAAAATATATAAATAAATATTTCTGGAAGTATTTAGAAAACAACAATTTTATGACCACAGCTGTTTTAATACTAATGTAAGGCAATCAAAAAAGCAATATTTGGTCAAATTACAACAGCAGTAAATGATACACACAATAATTGCCAAAAGAAAGTACTGAAGAGTTAGGAATGTATAAAACTCAAAGCTAGTGGAACAAGACACAGAGAGAAGATTGAATGTTTATAGCGGAAGAAAAAACATACCTTTTGGACAGAAGCTACAGTAATGTCACTATTAAGCTGAATGTGCGAACAGCAGGCAAAGATGGCATTGCGCTCACATAGACGACTGCTGATGGCTACACAAGACAAAGCATGCAGTAAACTTGCAATCTGACCACATCGTTCATCCTTCTGCCTGTCTGCAGAGAATTCTGAAAGCTGAAAACAAGAACCCCCAAAAATGTGACATACATAATTGAAATACACACACACACACACACATATATATATATATATATATATATATATATATATATATATATAATGATATATAATTTTGTATAATTTTATATATCAACAAACAATATTTAGAAAAATAGCATGATAAATTGGGAAAAAGTTATTGTGACAAGTTCAACCATTAGGATTTCATCGGACTGGGCTTTTTTGATGTTGTCTCATCTACACAAGAACCAAGAGAAAGAATATTTTTGCTGTGTGTGTGTGTGTTTAGGCAGCAATACCTCTTTTATACACATTAAAAATGACTGACAAAGTACTGCAGTTAAGTTTTTTTTCTTGTGTTCTTATAATTTTTTTCTTTTCTGAACATAAATTTTATGAAAATTGTCCGAATGTTTTTGGTTATAGTTTTAGCCATTATCAAGGATGATTTTATTTTTACTTTCAACTTAATGCATGGATTTTTTTTATGTGTGTATCTAGTTATAGAAATGTTTTATTTTCCAAACATAGTCAGCAGATTGTGGCTGTGTTCATAGGTAATGTTATTGAATATTGGCTTTTTCTTTTTTTATTAATAATGCTTCCATTAATTTTCATTTTTTTTTACATTATTATTACAGGCTATTATATTTGTATTGTTAATGAGTATGTTGCAGATGGAGTTTAATTGAGGTATGGTCAGAGAGATGTAACATGAGTTTTTTGTTAGGCATGTTGTAGGATATCTAATATAATTATTTATGTATTTGGTTTGATCAGAGACACAGTACCTTAATGGACATGTGAATTTGTAAATAATATTGGTTCTCTATAATTTTGATATTGTTGTTGATGATGAGGTTAGTAGTTTTAAATTTTTTTATAGTAGATAATTAATTTAATTTTCTTGTTTTTGTTGACTGGAGTTGTATATATCTTTATAATGTTTCTAAGGAAAGATTCATTATACTTGTCAGTGGTTTTTAACAAAACTTTAAAACAAAATTATATACAAGAGTATTCCTCAAGTCTTTTTCTGTGAGCAAAGAAAAGTAAACCATGCTGGAATCTATATGGGGTTAATTTATGCAACAGGCCAATGAGCCATACTATGCAGGTTCCTTTAACTGTTTCCCTCTTCAGGTCTTCCCTATTATCTAAACCTCATCCCAGATATAGTTTACCATACCAGGATTTTCTTACTAAAGTTGTTGTACTGGTATAATTGAAAATGACATTTATGAGCAAAGCCTAATATAAAATAGGTATTACCTGCATATTAAGACAGTCTTCTGTGCACTCATAGACCTTCTGAAATGTTTCCTCTTGTTGATGGCGACTTACTGGATGTATTTTCCCATCATTGTCTCTTGTACAGAACAGGCTGGTAGTTGGTAGGAGATTTATTTCATGATGCAAAAGAGCAAAAACTTCAAATAGCCATAACTACATTAAGCAAAACCTTCATCAAAATAAATTCATATTCTTTTTTACATTTAGATATAGAAATTTTAGAGTTTAATAAAAAATATAAGTTGATGGTTGAGTCAAATTTGTACTCTCATTGCTTTTCTTGATTCTAACAGATTTTTAACTGGTTAGTGTTTTCTATTCAACAAATAAATGAGGGCACTCTGATATGGTGCAATGGTTAGCAAGGTTGTCTCACTAGATCAGTTACTGCTGAATAGTAAATTTGATTTTTGCTAGGTGCCCCATATTTACATTGTTCGGACTATCATCCTCATCTTTGTTGCCATATTTATCACAATGTTTTGTGCCATGTCTAATGGATGTCAGTTATTAGTTATCTCCTATTAATTCCCCTCTCCAAGTTCTCCACCATCTTAACCAGGTATTGAACTCACACTCTTTTGGGTCCTGTCACTGTCAAGGACACATGGCACAGTGGATAAAGGCATTAGTTAAATCCGGTGATAGGACCCAAAAGAATGTGATTTCAATACCTGGTTAAGGCGGTGGAGAATATGGAGAGGGCAATTAACAGGAGATAACTGATATCCATTAGACATGGCACATGGAACTAGAACAGTCTATCCCAGCGAACAAAATAAAGGGTTCAGTTCAACATTCCAACCACCTGAAGAAGGCCGGAGCATACAATGGCCAAAACGTTGTGATAAATATGGCAACAAAGATGAGGATGATAGTCCAAACAATGTAAATAGTGCAGATAATAACTCATTTCAGAAATATAGACAGATGCTGGGTGCCCCATATTTTCAGCCTTGTGCCACACCTAATTATATTCTTAGAAAATTGCCAAAAAAGAATGTTATATTTAATCATTCTTAGTACCTGTTTAAAACACCTTCAATGATATTGTGCTCACAAATATAAAATTTTAAAACTGCATTTCTAATTTTTTTTTTTTTAAAAACAATATCTTTTAATAATTCTGCAGTATTATGGGTTGAGTATCCTTTATCTGAAATTCCCAAATCTGAAAACCTCCAAAATCCAAAAGTTTTTCAGATGCTAACATGACTTGCCACAAATAGAAAATTTCAGAAAGCACTGAAAAGGCTCCTAGGTGATGTGCAGCTGTTGTGAGTGACCTCATCTGCTCTGGGTGGGGGTTTCCCATTCTATTCCATTCTATGTTGACACCAGTTTTTTGTTAGCAATTGTTACAGCAACACCTTTGTTTGTGGATTGCTTACCAGGTGTTTCATGCTCGGTAAAGATATCATTCAAAATGTCAAAAAGTCCTGCATTTATATATTTTTTCTAAGTAGTGACATGTTTTAAAAATCCATGTGAGCATTACATGACTAGCATCATGATCTCTATCTGTATGTACTTGGCACTTCCAGTCCCAAGAACTTTGGATAAAGGATTCTCAAGAATTTATTACATTCAAATTTTTTGAAAGCCATTTTTTTTATCAGAAACAAAATTACTACAATAAGTTCCATGTTTACTTTTCCTATTTCTCTTCAGAGAAAAATACCATTTTTTTTTCTTTCACTATTTGCAAACTGTTATAATTCTGTCTCATTTTTTAATACACCTAGGTACTTAGACTATAAATGTCTCACTCTTTCTGTTCCTACATACACACCCATGCACCATAAAATATATATTTAGCTAGAAAAATTCATCTTCCTTTTACTTACCTTGATATATTTCTGGCACAGTAAAGACGGACTTCTAGGGATGTATCAGACAAATAGTTTGGGAACTGTCTCCACATAGGTACATTTTCAGAATCATCAAAGTTGTTAATAGTCCACTCACCTTCAGGGTCATTCTGTTGGGAAAATGTAATAGTTACAAATTCTCTTAACCAAAAATTCTGTCATTAAAATAACTGAGGTCGAAAATCAAACAAAACCTATTTTTATCTATAAGTTTGGCTATTAATATTCAATGATTATTTGGTTAATTTAATATTCTGTTGTTTTATAGTATTTTGGTCATTACATTTTCTGACAATGTTCAAGTGGAATTTTTGTCTTGTTACCAAATCCCTCAATCGAATGCAATGCAACTAATGAACCATTTTTAACATTAGCCAAAAATTCCAACTAATGATAGCTGGAGAATTAACTAACCAAAATTCAAAAATTCAACAAAGTATATGAAAAAAGTTAAAAAAAAAAATAAAAAAGAAAGGAAAAAAAAAGAAACTTAAATATTTACAAGTCATAGACAAAACTAAGTTTGAATCATTAACTGCAAATGATGAAAATATCAGTCATTTCAGTTTCATGGCTCAAACGATGAAAAGTCCTTTTATTAATGTTACTGTCACATTGAGACAGTGTCAACTAAACAGATCTTGCCACATTTAATAAGTTAATTCTGCTTTGTAATTTATAAATATTCTTACATGAAATTTATATTCAGATTATTTTTTAGTCAAAATAATCCATAAGTTTATTTCAGCATTGCTTAAGTTTTTGAGAGATTAGAATAGAAATTATGTTTTACAAGATTATTTCAGAAATAATTTTATAAATAGTCCATAATTAATTTCTTTTATTATTTTAGCAATAGATTCTGTCAAAAGAAGTGATAAAAATATTCACAAATTAATTTTAACATAAAAATATACTGCATTGCAGTGTAACAAATGAAAGAAACATTATGCAGAATTTCACTATCTTTTCATTATCTTTGAGATAAGATTAGCAAATATTAGTTTGGTTTTGGTAAATTGTGCACAGTGAATGTCTGATTATCATTGTTTTACTAATGAAATAAAGAGACCTACATCTGAAGTTTTAACTAAAACTCATCAGGTCAAATTTTTTATGCCACAATTTAGTGCAAGTAATCCAAGTAATTCAATGGAAATACCGAAACACTTCAGATAAGATTCTTTTTTTTCAAATCAATTGATAATATTGTTTACCTGAATGAAAGTAAGAAGACATTTTGCCAAGGCAAGACGGACTCTGCTGTGGTACTTTCCACTGTTTTGTAATTTCCTGTAAAATTATGATGATGATAAATAGAAACAAATAGATATTGTTAACTTGTAAGAAATAATCTCAAAGTCATAGAAAACACAACATTTCAATTTTTACACAAAAGTACTTCTACACATTCTTCACCCAACATTTTGGATGATCCATTATAGACCTGATGAAGGCTGAAGAATCAATCAGTTAAAATATGTTAATAACAAACAGAATAAGAAAGAGTTCAATTATCAAAAAAAAAAGAATTTGAAATCATAAAATTAAGATAACAGTGACCAGGTGTCAAAACTGTCATCAGATTTTCACATTTATGTGTTTTGTTGTTAAAATGAGGAGGTAAATGAAATATTCCATATATGAAGGAACTTTGTGTAGTTCTGTCTTTATTGATGTAACAAAAATACTAAAACAACTTTGGTGAAATTTGATATGTAAAGATTTTGTTTTTATCTTCATTCTTCTTTTTTTTCCTGAATTTTCTGTTTTAATTCTTTTTTTTTATCTGATCTTTTAAAAATAATAAATTGACAAAATTGCTCACCAAAGGATAATATTGATCTTGAAAGTCATTTTAAACAATCAGTAAAATTATTAGAAATAATTCCAAGGACTATCCTGAAAATAAGATACAGATAGGTATATATTGAAACACAGGGAAAACTGTAAATACAAGGTTAACAAGAGTTATGCAATGTTTGTTGCAACAAGCAGAACAGATATAATATTGAATGCATATATGTGATGTCAATACAAAGATGACTGTGACTATAAAAGTAGGGATAAATATAGAGGTGAGCAATATAAGATTTTTGCATTTCTCACATGAACTTATTGCTGTGTTTAGAAAATACAAAGTCAGTCTTCATCTGTTGTAGCATGTTCACTGAGGAGTACATCAATCTGCAGTAGGAATCTTGTGTAAGGTTCCATGTTTATCAACAGTAGAAAATAACATTTCAAGTTTTGATTCAAGATGATAAATGGTGCAAACTTCTTGATATAACTGCAGAATTTGGTTTTCCAAAATTGGTAGTTTATGAAATTGTTCACAAGTTAGGATAAGATTACACTATGGACACACCCATGTAGAAAGGGAAGAGGTAGTTTTATCTTGATCTCAAATATTTCTGTTTAATTTCTAGCAGATAGTTCTTTTGAAATTTGGTGTTCTAAGCAGCATCCACTTTGGCCGGAGGGAAATGGGAAGTAAATCGAGGATTTTCGCGATCAAGTGGCAACAAAACAGGAAATGGTGTATATCAGGGTGCTAATACCCACATTAATGTAAAAAGATGTAAAAGAGTGACGGTTATTAACAAAAAATTATTGGATGGCATTTCAAATGTTATTGGCTCTTCATTCATGTTCTCTATAGACTATTTGGGAAAAAAAGGGTTCTGAAATGTTATCAAACATGATACTTACTTTTAAAGAATAATTATGGTAATATTATTAAGTATTCTAATTAAGAATGAGAAGATGCTTTTATAATTTTGAACCTACAGATTAAAATGGAATGTATTCTTGCCAGCATCTTCAGCTTACAGATTATTAAAAAAAAAAAAACTTTTTGGCACTTACCATATTCCAAGAAAAAGTTTGAGGATAGAGTCTCTATTCTTGGTCATCTCAATGCTAGCCATTTCTTGGGACCCACAAGACAAGTGTGGGATAATCATAGTAACCAATTCAATGCAAGTTTGCACAATATCTTGGTCTCGGTAGTGTTGCTTCAATATATTCCTTCAATAGAAATTTAATAGATAAGAAAAAAACAAGACCCTAATCAAAACTACCAATTTGTTTTAGTTAAGAAGGATGTGTGGGTGGTGTAATGGATAATGTCTCAGAATGAGAAATCAGAGTACCAAGTTCAAATTCCAGTTGGGTTTGTTACATTCACTTATGCAAGTGAAAATATACACGAGAAAGGTATAAATCTATCTCTTCCCCATGAAGCAATGAGTTGTATAGACTGGGCTTCCACTTCAAATTTACATTAACAGGGCAAGATAGCAATCTTTTTTAGTAGATCTGACAATTTCCAATATATACTGATTCTATTCTGATAGAAGTTTTGCTTATGCCAGTATTTTGAAGAATCAGTTATGTCACACTGATGAGAAAAACATATGCATGGAAAATTGGAAGGCAATCAGATCAGACCAAATCTGTGTAGTGAAAGAGATAATCAGCTACCTCGAAAAAGAGTTTGTGTTTTGTGTGCGATCTGCCGAAGACAAAAGTAGTTAGCAAAAATCTACTTTAAGGACCAGAATCTAGGCTAATGTTTTTCCCTCCCTTGAATGGCATGACCAATCAGAAAGATCTCTAGGTGAACAAAAGCCATTGTTTTTTGCTTATATGACAGATTTTAATTTTCTGAGCTTGATGGACGAACACACGTTTTTGCTGGTGAGAAGTGAAGGTTGGATGTGTGACCCCATTTTGTCGTTTTCTACATTACCTGTTGGACTGTTACAACGGACTATCGTTTGAACTGTGATTTGGCTACAAGTGTTGCAGTCAAGAGACAGAAGAAATCTATTGCAGATGTTTGTTGCTACTACAAGTTGACAGATTTTTTTTCTTCTTTTTCTTTTCTTTACAACTACAGTCTGTGATCCTGAATATATAGATATTAGTAGCCATTAATTTTTGACCAACACTGCACAGCTGGTTATTATGCACATTTCTGAGAGCCCAGTGGTAGATAGTTATTTCAACAAAGTGAAAGTTGTAACTTAAGGCATCCCCTGCCCTAATGTCAGGGATAGTTGAGCAGCTGCAAGTAAATGATTCCCAACATGTTCTTTTGACATCACATTTGCTCTGATCTTTACTGTAGACACTGTGAAATCTGTCAATGTTGCCCTTGCAATGTGCCAGTCTTGGCTAGGGTTTGTATAACATGGCCATCCAGAACCTGGTCTACAAGTGTAGAAATATTCATTTGATCACTGTTACCAAAAATGAAGCAACACTGATCTGTCATGTCAAACAAGTACAACTGCTCTCCAAAATGATCCCCAGCTTCACAAAGGTTCACAATCTGATTCTTCTTAAATGGCTCTAATTCAACAATAAGATTACACTGACATCACTGTAGCATGATGACTCCTGTTTGCACTGGACACTTTAAATAATCTGTACTGAATCTTATTGCAGCATACATCACAGCCTAAAGCCAGACTCACAATGCACTGGGATGAGTGTTACTACATCACAACATGGCCAAAGGCTTTGAAAACTGTCAGAATATCTATCATGCATATAATGCATCAAGTTCAAAATCAATATTGTCCTTTCTATCAAATGCACTGCTAATGATTTTATTAATGAAATGCATTAAAAATCAAGGAAGGGGAATTGTCAATTGTCAGGAATTAAGACAAGCATTACTGACAAAATAGGACTATTATATATATATATATATATTTATATATATATATATATACATACATCAAGGAAAAACTTGACGCATCATCAAAAACGATTATAAATTATAATTTATTTCAACAAGTTTTTAATACTTGTCTCATCAGACCAAAATTACAAATGGTATAATTTTACAGAATGGTTTAAATTTATTCAGACAATATTTTTAAAAACCAGATAACAGGAAATCTAGATGCTTAACCTAGAAAATCTATTTTCTGGGGATTTATATTATTGAAGACATGGGTGAGGGAAGAGAGGCAGCTGTCAACCCCATGTTCAAGATGTTCAAGTGTGGTGTTTGGGAGAATACGAATAACAGCTAGAGAAATACATTAGAATAAAGATTATATATATATATATATATAGGTACCTCCACGAAATCGCTAAAAAAAGAGCATAGCTTGATGAAAAAGACGCCAAACTTTCCGAAAACTAAATTTTATTGTCTAAATGCTTATGTTATTATTAAGAGGAAAGACCAAAGTTTTTTTTTTTAATTATTTTTAAAAATTTTCCTTCTTTTTTAGAACATTCTAAATTTTGATTAAAAAACCTTTTTCTATTTGTATCAGCGGAACTAGTAAATAACATAGACAATTTTTAGCACGTTTTTTTTTTGGTATGACACACATTAATTTGAAAAAATTGCAAAAAATAGAAATAATTATCGGATGTTAATGAAACTTTCAGAAAACTATTCACAGATGATCGAAATTATTATAAATATGTTTTTTTTTTATGAAAGTCATGGTAGAAATATTTTTTAAAAATATTTATTACCCCCCATAACTAATTTTATGAAAACGCTAGAAATTCGATCGCATCGGTTTTAGTGATTACAATAATTAAAAGCACAGGGCTTTGAGGAATGCAAATCATGTTTTTTTTTTTTTTTTTAATTGGATACGCAGTACCTGAAAATCAGCTCTGAATTGTAACATACAAAACTCAATAAAACAAATATATTATTTAATTTCAAATGCTTTTATTTGCTTTTAGTTGTTTTTATGAATATGGACAATATTTTCTGAAAGCAAAAAAATTTTTTCGATGAAAAATGAATTTTTAATACAATTATTTGTTATTTCATTAATTATAATAGATTTTACATTTAAGTTGTTAAAATATTATAAAATTAGTTAAAAAGCCGCATCGGCTTTCATAAGTGTCCTTATGAGATAGATCTTTTTTTTAGCGCGTTGTAAATTGTATCATTTTGACTAATCAGAAGATCCCCAGTAATTAAGAAATGTAATTTTGTGCTTATAATCGAGCTGTAATTATAAAATACGGAAGACCAACCAGAATATAATTAAGTTGCGTTATTTGAGTTAAGCATTGTTCTCCGCTGTTAAGGCCTTTACTTTTTGCGAAACACGTGTGGAGAAGTTAATTTGATTTTTCAATTTCAACTGAGAAGGGTACCTACAAGTATCAGTATCATCTTATGAAATTTATATGATCTTATTTTTATATTAATCTCAGTTATGACATTTTTCCATAAATGAAATATCAAAATTAATAATAAAATGAATGCAAATACAAATAACAGTAGAATGTAATAAATGTACATAAAATTATAGTATTTTATGTACACTTCTGATAAAATTTCATAAGAAAGGTACCTATAAATTAATTAGATACCTTTCTTAAGAAATATGAAATTTAATGTCACTCTTAACAGTTTTATTTTAATTTCTTTACAATATATTTTCCATAAAGCATCATAAATGTAAAGGTGAAAGCTAAGTACAAAAAAAAAAAAATCAGACCACTGAAAGTTTTCATTAAAAATAACGGGGTAAATAATTTGTTCAATTAAATGTAAATTATTTCACTTTTCTCCTTCCGTAGAACAAATTAGCCTCATGGAATTTGTAAATATATCATTCATCACGTGTCAAGAGACACGAAAGTTTATGACCTGCTTTGTTTTATTTTCAAATTACATCTTTTTGGCACAAAAGCTAAGTTAAGTTTGGTTCAAAATATTTTAAATAAACATTATAATTTCTGATTTTCTTAAAATAAGTTTTGAAAAAATGATAATTGATATTTAAAAAAATTTCAAAGTCAGATTTCCAGTTTTTTTTTTTTTAAAATGGAAAAAAATTGTCAATTTTGCTGACTCAAAAAAAAACTAGATTTTTAACGAAAATTTCGGACGTGCTAGGAACGATTAAAAATGGAAAAAAATACCCCAAAAATACTTTGACCTTTCCTCTTAATAATAACAAACATTTAGACGATAAAATTTTGTTTTCGTCAAGTTTGGCATCTTTTTCATCATGCTATGCTCTTTTTTTTGGGATCTCGTGGAGGTACCTATATATATATATATATATATATATATATATATATATATACACACAAGCATAAATAGATTCAATTTTTAAAAATAAACCAGTTTGTCTGATGATCACAAAAGCATGAAACCCAGGGCCACAAACTTATATATATATATATATATATATATATACACACACACACACACAAAAAAAGGGAGAAGAGAAAATAATGAAAATAAAATAACAGATTGAAAATGAATAAAATAATTGAATATATAACATATACATGCACATATACTTACATACACATGTGAATCCACACATTCATACAAACACATAAGTAAATACATATAAGTGCTTGCTGCATAATGTGAAATATTATGCAGTAAGCACTAAATTCTAGTATTGCCCTTTCTCTTTGAGATCTATTGAGAGCATTGTCATGGTAGCATCCAATGTGATGCAGAAAGTGAAAAGCATACCAAGTTCATAACATTAGCTTCCAACCACTGAAGCTAGGTCCTAAATGTTCATGGTCAAAACCAAACTGGAGACCTCTGGCAGGAACATGTCACCCATAGCCAAGAGAAAAAGACATTTTAAATTATGAAAGTTATCCTGAACGACCACTTGTCTACATCCTTTCGTACCAACATGGGTGTCCCCCAGGGCTCCATCCTTGGTCCTACTCTGGTTTTAATTTGCATTAATGACCTTCCTGATGACATAAGTTCTCAATTTGCTATCTATATTGATGACACAATTTATTCCTGCCTCGATAGTAAGGCTTATCAGTCTGACAAGGTCAAAATGGCAGTAGATATCCAAAATGACTCTAAGTTCGTTGTTAACGAGACAAAAGATGGTTTGTTAATTTTAATGCCTCCAAAGTAAACTTCTTTCCAATAATCATCAGAGAGATCCCTTGCTGCCTTCCATCCGCATGGCTGATGCAAACCTCTAGGAAGTGACCTGCTGCATCTTCTCAGACTCACATTCTTGGCTGGCATGAAGTAGAAAGACTATATAGAATCCGTTGCTAGGTAAGCTGCTAAGAAAGTCAGTTCACCGTGCGAGACAATTTTTCTCTCCAGAATCTATCTTACATATCCATACATCTACCATTTGCCTGTGCTTAAAATATTGCTGCAACATAAGGTCTGATGCCCTTGCTATTTGCCTTGAGCTCTCCAGAATCTATCTTACATAACTATAAGTCTATCATTTGTCCATCCTTAGAATGTTGTTGCCACATATGATTCAGTGCCCCTGCTATTTGCCTTGAGCTCCTTGATAAAATCCAAAGAAGAATCAACAATATTATTGGTCCTGATCTGGCAGCTTGGCTTCAGTCAGTTTCCCACCACCGTAACGTTGCCTCTTTATGTCTTTTCTATAAATACTTTCATGGTAATTGTTCAGATGAGTTCTTTTCTATGAGACCTAGAGTTTTTGAATTTAAGATCAGTACTAGACTGTCATCAAGATCTCATCAATTTACAGTGGAGTTGGATAGATGTAGCCGTAAATTCTATACTAACAGTTTTTTCTCTCACAATTCTTGCTTGTGGAACTCCTTTCAGGACCAATAATATTATTGATTCTTCTTTGCATTTTAAAAGGAGCTCAAGGCAAATAGCAGGGGTATCAGACCATATGTGGCAGCAATATTCTAAGCACGGACAAATGGTAGACATAGATATGTAAGATAGATTCTGGAGAAAAAAATTGTCTTGCTCAACACAGTGAGTTAACTTTCATAGCAGCTGACCTAGCAATGGATTCAATATAATTTGTTCTATTTTTACCCTAGTGCACTTTATATAATATTAATCTTTTTACAATTACATGAAGAACAAAGACAAAAATGCTATCAATTTGAAAAGAGCAATGTAGACAACTTACATGAGAGTTTGGAGAAAGTAAGTAATGCTGTAACTGGGAAGATGTTGACCAGAACAACAAAGAGTAGAAATAATGATTTTCAACTGAAAAAAAAGAAAGAGAAATTAGTTTAAAAAAAGATATTAAAAAATTCACAATTTTACATTAAGTAATCTGTCTTCTATTTTCTTTTACAAATATTCTAGCAAATGCAAACAATGACATTTGCTTTTAAATATTTACATTATTCCTTTTTATAAAAGTTCACTAGAATAACTATTTGCACCAGTCCATCTTTTGAACAGTAGTGTTTGCTTTATTCATCCTAAAGACAAATGAATACGTTTTACAAATTTAATCAGATGCCAACACTCAAAAGAAAAATATACACATACACACATACAACTACAAACATTGTAAATTACATAGGTACTTGGATCATTCAATAAGGAATGCTAAAAAGAGATCAAGGGTTGAAATTATAAAACTGGATAATGTCAAACTGAGACAAGGTTCCTTATCTATTTCATAGATTTTTTTTATGCCTATATAAATTCACGCCAATTAAGCCATTCCTACCAATTTTATAATTTTACCTGTCTTTTAAACTCATCATCTCAGCAAAATTATTCTCCCATCAAGAAAGTTTATAAGTGCAAAATTTATCAAAGTTCCAATGTGTCAGACTAATAAAATTCACATATTTTACTCTTTCTGCTGCCTTATTTTCCTTTTTTGGGAAAAGAATAATAATAATATTACTGCAAATGGAACTGTTTTTTTTTTACCTTTTACATATCCCAGAAATGTATTTCTCTCTATAATTGCATGAACAATTAAGCAAATCTAATTACTTACCATCTGCAAATGGAATGGTTTGATAACATCAAATGATTCAGCTGGTAAATTGCTTTCTATGTGATCTCTGACCGACAAACAGAGAGGATCAGAGTTCAATGACCCAAAATGGTCATAACTGCACCAAAGGCACAAAAAGTGCAAAGATTGACAGCTTAGTTGCTCTTCTGCATTCAGTTTCTGGCTAAATAAATCTGAAAAGGTACAAAACAACAATGAAGACAAGGCAGTAAAAAAGCCATAAGCAATCTGTCAAAATGTAGAGAAAGTTGCATTCAGAGTCTTCACAGGCTAATCTGATCCATTAGTCTGTCATGAGAGAAGACAGAAGTAGCAGTGAAGATGTCCCACGTGTCACCTACCTACACCCAGACCGTGCCAGGTGAATTCATGAATAAAAAAAAACTAATATATTAGAAATAGGAGTCATGTTTTCTTTTCTGGCTGCGGTGATTTTACAAGACAGGTGTATTTTTTGCACCCTCTCATATTTTTATTCCAGTAAAATGTGCAAGACAATTGCCAGAATTTTCTCTATGATTTGGATGAAAAGCAACCAATTTACCTTCACCCCCAAGGCATTGGTGATGCCCTGGAAATCAAAAAGATAAAAAAAAAATCAAAGTGAGAACCAATCTTTTTCTTATCTGCTGTATTGTCCTATTTTAATATCTTAAATCATTTTTTTATAATTTTTGTTTTAATAAGTTCTAGTATATCTGTCTATATCTCTGAGAATGAGATTATGATTACTTGCATTATTTACATTATTTGGACTGTTGTCCTCATCTTCACTGCCATATTCACAACGTTTCAGCCGTTGTATGCTTCAAACACTTTATTTCCTCCACTGGGGTAGATTGTTCTAGTTTCACGTGCCATGCCTCTTCCGAACATCTCAGTTATTTCCCTTTAATTCAACTCTCCTAGTTTTGGTTCACCACCACTGTGGCCTGGTATTGAACTCACAACTCTTTGGTTCTAGTCACTGGATGTAACCAATGTCTTTATCCACTGGGCCATGTGACACACGGAAGTAGAACAGTCTACCCTGGTGGACGAAACAAAGGCTTTGGTTCAAAATTCCAATCACCCGAAGAAGGCCAAAACATTGTGAATATGGCAATGAAGATGAGGATAACAGTCCGAATAATGTAAATAATGCAAGTAAGCCCTTTTATAATCCGGCATCAGATTTGGATTTCTTTTTAGCAAGGGCATAAAGAGCAAGTTAACCATTAAATGGCAGACATTGTCAGTTTCATTGAAGCTTTGTGGATATCATCAGTCAATGACTTAAACTTTTTCAATGATATGACCATCATTCATTCATTCATGATACAAGTCTAAATGACTAATTGGCAACTCTAGGATTCAGGTACTTACATCATTTCTTGGAGTATTTTCTGCAAATAAAGCTGAAAGAACAAACCAAACATAGTGCTTTGTCTGTGTGCATACTTTCCAAAGAGAAAATAGGTAAAACATGGTGACAACTTAGTGCATGGTTTGCTTCAAGGTGCATGATATTTTTTAAAATATTAAATTTAGGAATCTAATGTTTGTTCTATTTCCATTTTTTTCTTTAATTTTTACAATGCAAAAAAGTTAAATGTTATTCTTATAGTTTTTGTATATAGTTCAAGTGAAAATAAGCATAAAACTACACTTTTTATCCATTTGGTATGCACACCTTTCCCCCATTTAACAGTGGCAGAACTACCAATACCAAATTACGTTTTAAAGCAAAAATTTTACTTTGTCATTATGTGACGGCGTACACCTGGTCCAGGGTCGAATCCTTTGGTTACTGGCGCCAACTGTGACGTCGCTCCTCCTGGTCGCTCCTCCTGGTTCCAAGTGTGCCGTTCCAACCCCTTGGTTAGATGATCACCAGCCTCGCTTTTTCCCAACTCGCTTCCAACACCTGGTTACTGAAGTAACTGTACTGATCTCCGGTCTGTCTACCCACGCTGTGTTTAGATCTTAGACAGACGGGACCAGCAGGGATTGGGGCCGATACAAGTTGAGTCCGACGGGGGTGGCAAAACACAAGTAAAAGAAAAAAACTCACGAGACAAAAAATTACTGATAAAAAAAAAGGGTGACAACCTTTTATATCTAATGTCCGTTACATAAAAAAAAATTGTTCTTATTTCCCGACCCGCTCTGTGGACTATGGCACCAAGCTTCTATCATACAACTTAAAGATTTCGAATTGCCTACTCTTTAGAATTATGTATGTCGGAGTGTGGTCTAGTTCGACACTGGGGCTAATTTCTATCAATCATTCGCAGTTGATTCTTCTCTTCGACTTGAGTTGTATTTCTTCTTCTTGGTTTGTTGGGTCGAGTTTCTGTTCTGGGTTGGGCTTGATTTCACACTTCTTCTTCTTCCGTCCTGCAACTCCTTTTGTCGACTGAGGTGGAACTGATTTGTTTCTTGTTTGGTCTGCAACTTTACTGCCTGTCTGAGTAATCTTCTTCTTTTCGACTTTTGGATGGAATTCTTCTTTTGTCTTCGCAACTTGGGCCTGTCTGGATTTCTTGTTTCTTCTTCTTATCTTTGACTTTCTTGCAACTCTCTCTTGGGCTGGAAGCAATTTCTCTTCTTCGACTTGGGCTGGAAGGATTTCTTGTCCGCAATTCTCTTGCCGCAAGGGGGGAATGTCGTCCGATGGTCCATCTCTCTCGCTGCCGTCCGGGGCGGAACTGATTTTTGTCGATTGGGGTCCTGCTTTTATTGACGCCGCAACAAACCGGGGTGGGTCTGTCGGCGTCAGGGTTTTCTCGATAATCCCAAAAGTCGCATTATTTCTGATTTCCCATTATCGCTATTATTTTCACCCCTACTTCCTCACAGTGCCTCGGGGGGGAAGACGCATACCCATCTCTCCCGGTCTCTCGTATGTCAGGTGACCGTTTTTCGACCAATGGTTCTTGATCGAACATTCTTTCTCCTCTTTCCGCATGCCACGTGACCGTTTTCGACCAATGGTTCTCTGATCTAGCATTCTCCTCCCTTTACATATCACGTGACGTCTCCAATGTGGGCGGGTTTACGCCTCCCGTCTTGTTCTGGCTTACATTGTTCTTGTTCTAAAAAAAACAAAATCTAATTTGGCCTTTTTTCGCACGTACGAAAAATGATAATCTTGGCTTTTTCTCACCTGGGTTCTGTCAAAACAGCCTGCCGCTAATTAGATATGACTTCAGGAAGGAATATTGGCGCTATCTTGGAGCCGAGCCAAAACAATTTTTTTCACCCCTTTGTTTTTGGTCAGACCTGATAGTCAAAAATCTTAATTATCTGAATTGAAAATGTCTTCACTTCATCATCGTGGGGTTCCAATCCTTAACAGGTCAGAATCTGTATACAGTTCCACCGGTCACCCCTCATCCCAAAAGACACCTTTCCTCCGATTAAAAATTTGTTTCCATTGTTCTAAAAAATTTCCCTTTTTCCAAATTGATAATGAGTCTTTCTACGCAAAAAGTCGGTCATGTGCTCTGACCGATATTTTTTATTATCAATACACTTTTATCAAGCATGGTCCCTTCTCTCTCTAAATGACTTTTTCATTCTAAATAACAATTCCCATTGTCTTTTCGAAATTCGGCCAACATGTTGACCAAGATATCTTTCTGACACCTGTTTTCACTAATGACTGGCCTTTTGCATTCATCTCTCTCTCTTTTTTTTTTGTTCCTTTTTTTTCTCTTTCTTTTTCTTTTTCTTTTAGGATCGTCTAAGTACAACTTAGTGAATTATTTTCAACTCAATTATTCTTCGTCTAAAAAAAAAAACTAACAACCTGTTTAATAAACCGAGTAAAAAAAAAAATTAAATCATATTTTGAATATTGAATTTTTCTAATAATGCAAGGTGCCATAATTATTCACAATTCCAAAACAACATTTATTTCTGAAGAAAAATAAAGAAAATATTTATTTACCTATTGCTGCAACATTTGATATTTATCAGGAATATCCATGTGTTTCTTCATCGTCTACTATCATCCAACTGTTCTGATACGATCCAAATATTACATCAAAAATCATCCAAAAATCACAAATTTTGAAATTCTGCCAAAGTTGATTGGGGTGTGTTACCCAGTGTTTTTTACATTGCTGGATCTGTTCAAAACAGAGAGTGTTAAGAAAAATGTTACAGCATTTTCTAAGATGGAATTATTGCTGACCAAATTAACCTTTCTTGACCTTATCATGCTGTGCTAAAAAGCAACAAAAATAAGATGAAGAAAATACAAATCAAAAAGATTTCATCTAAGAAATTGAAAAATTTACCATTTTAAATAAAACAAATGAGCATTGGGGGAAAAGGAAAAAAGCAATATGACAAAAATCTGAATGCCAATTGGTGAAATCCTGTTCATTTGGAGCCAAGCCTGATTCTTTCCGAATGTATGCCAAGAGGATTGTTTCATTTCCTTCAAAGGTTGATTTTACTGTTTTTAAACTGAATTTTGAATGAAAGGGAATACATTGAATCTGGGGATGCATATCCAAATTTAAACAAATGATGTCAATAATTTGAAATGGGAAAAATAAAAAATTATTTTAAAACATGGTTTGCATTCGTTTGAATAGGACACATATTTTCTATGACAATTTTTTGACATTCAGGCATAAATCGTTAATTGTTTATTATAAACAGAGCATTTATTTAAATATTTGTATCAAAAAGAATGTATAAACATAAAAATGTCTTAAAATAATTGATTGGATTGATAAATTTGAATATATATATATATATATATTTATATATATATATATATATATATATATGAAAGTGGATGTAGTATTTTGTATATATATATATATATATATATATAACTACACAGTTCCTATAAGTAAATAGTCGAAGTAAAATAAAATAAACACTTATTAATAAGTTTCCGTAATTATATTATTGACAGGCAAATCAGACACAACTGTAACAACAATAATTTTAGTTCTAATTGTAATATTAATAACAATGCCAACAAACTATTTTACCAAAATCAAATACAACATAATAACAAAGGGATGAAATTGCAATAAAAAATAATACATTGACAGAATAAACCTGCAGATAAGAATATACATTCAGGATCTATCATTTATTATTAATTATTTTTTTAAATCAGTAATGTAATTATCAAAAATAATATCTTTCTATTCACCAACCTCCAACACAAGACCAATATTTTATTGAATTTATTTTCAGAATCATGAAATCACAATTGGTGTTTAATAATAAACAAAATGTCTGTTATAGGTTAACACGTGAAAGACTCTTTTCATAAGGCTCACATGTAGATTTATCCAAACAAAGTGCAATTATACAACACATTAACAAATACCACAAGAATTATAATATTAAAGAGCCCCTTTTTAACAATACTAAAATACTCCATAAATCCAATTACAAAAAATCATTTTAAAATTGAATTATCATTTACATTCAACAAAAGTAACCACCATTAATAAAAATATAGTTTAAGACACCATATTCTTGAATGCATATAAAAAATTGAAATATTTTTGAATATAACTTTCATTTTATTTTTTTGAGAGTTAAAATATTTAACAACCAAAAAATATAAAATTAAATGCATGAATGACTTTTGATCATGTATATATGAATCATATATATATATATATATATATATATATATATAATATATTATTAGTTTTAAATTTAAGGAAATTATACTGAGCGTGTTTGAAAAAAAATTCAAAAAAAATAACAACAAATAAACACTCTAGAAACTGTCAAAAAGGGAAAAAAAGGTATTAAAAACATTAAAGGACCATTGAACATTTTGTTAGTCGAAATTTAATCGCATTTTAGCCATTGCAAGCCTTCCAAAGGTGATTGGAATAAAAAACCGATCACAGTTCAATGCAAAAAAGGTAAAGTCGAGAACTTGGAGAAGGGAATTAACAGGAGATGACAATTAAATCCATTAAAGAGGCATGTGGAACCTAGAAAGTTTTCCCACTGAGCAAAATAAAGGGAACAACATGGAAATTACTGAAAAATGTGTTTACAAAAAACGATATTACAACCATATGAGTAGCTTCAAGATGAGGAAATATCCAAATAATGTAAATACACTATCTAGAAATATATATAAAAAATTAGATATTCAATAAAAAAAACCCCATCCTGAAATGAGAAATATTAAAAGAATTCCAAATATACTCAGATTATAAATATTCAAAACTATTTTTAAGGAAAAATTACTATCAGTTTTTTTAAAAAAACTTGAATATTTATTAAATTCTAAAAATATGAATTTTTTATATAAATATATATATATATATATTATATATATATATATATATATATATATATATATAAATAAAAAAGAAATTGAATAAATAAGTTTTTACCCCCGGTGTTCTAATAGATATTTTTATTTTTACAAAATTTATCTCTATTTGAATAAATTTTCTCCCCATTACCCTCCCCTGTTGTTTGTTTGATTTAAAATTTTTTTTTTGTCACGTGGTTCTAATTTTTTATTTCAAAATTGGAAGCTAAAAGCCCTGAATTTAATTTTTTTGCTTTTTAAAGACATTAGTTCCATTTCATCCTCTTAGGTGAAATTTTTAGTTTTAAAATTACTGGGTTTAAAGATATATAAAATATAATATATATTTCCAATATATATGAATATTTATAGATATATATATGGGTGTCATATTATATATATTTTTTAATGTATCAGTTATAACTACGTTTTCAAAAGTGGGTAGGGATGTATTTTTCAATTTAAATTTTGTAAAAAATTAAACTGGATTTTTAAAAATTTTTCATCCTTAAGTAAAAAATTTTACGGCATTTTTTTTTTTCGTATGAGTTTTAAAACACAGGGGTGTTTAGGTTAAATCCCTGTTTTTATTTAACTACGATTTGAAATATTTTTACTTTTAATTTTTAATATATTATATTTCTTTTTAAGAACAATTAAATGTAATGAGAATACCTTACAGTTTGTAGAATTATTAGGTACATCAAGTATATTACGTATTTTTTCAAAAATTTTTATATTTTCAAATATTATTGGTTTTTAAAATTTTTAAATTTATTGTTAAAGGCAAAATTCATTTCTCTGTTTTTAAACTTTATTTATTTAATAAACAATTTAAAAAAGTTGGGGATGTTTATTTTAATTACGTACAATTTTAATTACAACTTTAAAAATATTTTCATTTTTAATTTTTTAATAGACAATATTTCATTTAAAACAAGTAAATATATTAGAATTAATTACAGTATATAAAATTGTTTTTTTATATCAAGTATATGTATATTACAGATTTTTAACATTTTTTTTTTTTTTTTTAAATATTATTTAAGGAAAATTTTTGAAAATGACGGCAAAAAAATAGGTAATTCATTTCTCTGATTTAGTAAACTTTTTTTTTTTAAATAAACATAGTAATATATAGTTTCTCATGTTTGTACAAAGGACATGGGTCATTTATTACATCCTCTAGCTTTTTGAATAATTTCATTTTTTTGGTAGGTGTTTATTACATACACAAAATGTCAGTAACTTTTTAAAAATGTTTAGGTTAGAAACGTTTTATTTAAACAATTTTAAAAAGCCTTTTTTTTTTTTTTTTTTTATGAAAATTCAAGTAAAGTAACTGAATTCTTACAGTATATAAAATTAATTTTTCATGTTAAATATAAGTATGTATATTACCTGATCTTTGGATTTTATTTTTATTTTTAAATATTATTTAAGGAAAATTTTTGACAATGACAGTATAAAATAGCTATTTCATTTCTCTGGTTCAGTAAATTTTTATTTTTATAAACTTAGTAAATATAGTTTCTCATGTATGCACAAAGGACATGGTTATTTAATGACCTACATATTCTAGCTTTTCTTATTAATTTCCATTTTACTGTAGGTGTTTTATTTGATTCTTTTAGGTGCCAGTTATTTTGATAGAGATGTTTGATTTTTATATTTATTTATCCTAAATGAACTTTGATTTTGGTTGAATCTTTTTTTTGAATTCATGGTTTGTGCAACCTATATATATTTTTATGTTTTCCGGATTTTCAATAGAAGAGATATTGCATTGGTATACTAATGATTTCAGTGCGACATTTATTTTGTAGAGGACAGTTATGAGGGTTTCTACAGTTACATAATTTTTGTTTATTTTCATCTGTTTTTATTTTTATTTTTCCATTGTCTAATTTTTTTTGGTTTTGGTATAAGTGTTTATTTAAGATATTAGCATTATGGTTCTTAATTTTTTCTAAGTTTTCAGTACAGCTGTAACTTAATTTTAGTGTATTTTTTATTGAAAATAGTACTTAGTTTACTTTCACTAGGAAAATGCTTGACTATTAATGCGAGGAATTTTTGTCCTAATTTTTTTTTTTACCATTTGGTTGTATGGGGCGTATACCAAATTATTTTTCTACATCTGTTTTTTCTATGCTTTCCATTTTCATTTTTTTATATGTTAGTTTTGGGTTTTTGTAGCCACTCTTTTAGAGCCTTATTATAGAAATTGATATGTTCATCGAAAATCTTGTCATTTGCTGAATTTGTACTAATTCTTTTTACTGATAGATAAAGGTATATGTTTAATTATAGATGGGGGTGATTTGATTTAGGGTGTATATATAAAGGATTGGTGTTGGGTTTTTTTAAAGTTTGTATATATTTTTATTTAAATCTAATGTTATATGAATGAAGTTAACTTTTTTTTAATTTAGTGCTAACCGTAATTTTTAAGCCCATGCTTTTAAATTCTTTATATAAAACCTTTCTAATTCTATCTAATTTAAAGTTAGTTGAGTTTCTAATAACCATAAGTCCATCGTCTCTGTACAAACCAATGTCATTTATATTCATATCATGGTGCGCTGTAAGGTTGTATAATATAAAAAGACCAATGAGATCAGAAGATATATATATATCCCATTAGGATTGAAAATTTTAAAAAAAACTTGTTTGAGTTACCTGATTGGAGACAATATCTACAAAGATATTGTAAGATGTTAATGAACGCAGGATCTTAAAATACTGAAAGTGTAATTCTTGTTGGTTTCCACAAGGAGAGAACATCTGAATAAGAAAAGGCAATGCCAAATGCACACAGCTATTGCCAAGTTTTACTTGTAGTTGTGATATTTTAATCATTGTATTTTTCAACAATGTGTGAAGCTGATTGAAAACACGGGATGACTGGTCAATAACATTTCTGTCCAACAAGTGAGCCAAAGACTTGGACAAGAGGCAACTCATATAGGCAAGTTTCTGCAGGGTCTGGCAAAATAAGGAAATGTCTTTAATAATATTGACAATATTAAGAACTTAATGAGATTAACATACAGAAATGTTAAATAATACTGTATAGAAAATAGAAGAGTAATGTAAAATTACTTTATCATATATAATTAGTTATTAATAGTATAAAATACAGTTAAGTTAGAATTAATATATCATTATAAAAGTAATAAAATCATTCAGAGAATTGTTTTAAGATTTCTGCTGTAATAATCTTAAGTCATGTAGGATGAAGTATTTTCTTTTCAGACATTTTTTTCAAATTAGTTCCTTCATTTTTTTTATTTCAACACTTCAACTCATTGCTTCTTCTTCAGCTATTAAATTGTGGTGGTAAGCGGTCAAACCGAAAAGCTCTAAGTCCAAGAACTGAGTGGCGACTCTCTGTGCACAATCCAACACTCCTTGTGTGCACAAGCCATCCTCTGCATCCAGTAATTGAATTCTAAAATATCTTCAGTGTTTATGATGAAGCAAGATTCCATAGTATATAGTTCTTTTTTTTTTTTAAAGATAGCAGTCTGGCAAAATGGCACTTAATATAAAAGTATTTACAAAGATATCACTGAATTTCTTCATGTAGAAAAAATTACATTCACTAACATTTATTGCTGAAAATTTATGGAAACCAAACAGTGAATGTGAGCACAGGCAATAATGTGTTTCAGCAGTAACCATGATGTGTGTGAAAAAGTGGGTTGCCTCTGCTGGTACAAATGTTTGAGTATGACATGCCCACCCTTGTTCCTCACCAACAAACAGGCATAACAAATGAAGGTGACTATATAGAAAAATAGTGTTTTGTGGGTGAAAACTTATAGGATTATTGTTCTCTTGTATTTGTATTAGTTTCTATAGAAATACATAGGAGGCATTATTTTTGGAGTGATATCTACTTTACATGAAGGTATGAAACATTGTCTTATTGTGAAGATTTTAGAAGTAAGCATAAAACTTGAACTTGAGCATCTTTGGTGGTCACTTTGCAGGGAATAAAAAATGTTTTTCTTCCGCGACACTTGTAACGATGACTTTGTTGATAAAGTCAATAAGATTAACAAAATATTACGCTTGTGTTTACTCGATGGTTGCATCACACTTCTACTGTCATTTCAGGTTTTGATTCTGATACAAAATAATGGTGTTGTGATGTAGAATGAAATAAATTTTACAACTTCTTAATCCCCATATTATTATTTGAATTTGTTTTTTTTTTAAAGCATATCCAGAGTTGGAATTTTTTAAAAACACTTTGCACACAAAGCAAAATAAATTAATAGATAAGTAATAAAACTAATACAAGAGTGACCAGGAAGTATGCAAAAGATGAGACTTTAATTGGCAACAAAAGAAAAGCATTATAAAAATGGTAATTACATACCTCTGGCACTTCCTCTAGTTTAAGGACATGAGAAACCAGCCTTTTGAGTCTGTCAAGAAATATACTCATCACAGAATCAAAGAAACAAGTTGGAATGGTACTTGTACTTGATACATGTTTTTTTGGACTGACTATTAGGTTTCGTCTTGAATGCCATTTCCAAATAGGTAGACTCAAGGCTGGACAGTTCCATCTTTGAGATCTTTGGATGGCAGCAATCAGCTTTTATAACAGGCCAACTCAAACACAGAGATACCAGCATTGAAGCAAGTAGATCACAGTCAATTAAGTGCAGCTCTGAATGTTTGGATACAGTCATGTCACTTTCTCCTTCATCTTCCCAAGAAGGCAATAACCATTCAATCAACATCTTGCGTAGTGGATAAAAATCTTCTGTAGAATTGGTAATGGGAGTGCTGCCCATGGGGTGGATGACTGAAGACTTGTCTAAGAGGACTGGCTGATATTGTTCTGGTAGGTCATAGTAACTACAATATGTGGCCAGAAAACGGACAGAGTCTTCTGTGGGTGAGGTTCTCAAGGGTACAAATAAGTTCCACATTTCTTTTTGGGGTTGAATCAAGGAATAATGAAGCATGATGGACATTAAATGATAACTGGAGTCTTTGCATAAATGAAGATTTCCAATCCTTGAAGAGAAAAATTAATATTAGAGTAGAGTAAGTACACTCATAGCCATTACTAAAATGGTACAAATCAGAGAATATAAAAATTTTGGCACACATAATTCTTATTTTATGAAAATCATGGCAAAAAATATTGTCTAAATGATAATCAATATTCACTTGTGATAATAATAATAATAATATATAAGATGGATATCTAATTAATATTGATAAATTTACTTGAAAATCTTATTTATTCATTATAATAGTTATATGTATAGGAGGGTGAATAAATAAATCTGTAGCCTGAATCTAAGCTGAATTTTGAACTTAAAATCTTCACTGCATGTTCAATCTATATGATTAATATATTACTATTCACCAAAGAAGGTAGATTATGAAAAATAAATGCTTTTTCATCACTAGGTTAGAAACACTGATTTAACACACACACATATATATATATATAGTCAATTTTGGTTAAATGTGATTAAATTTAACACACACACATATATATATATATAGTCAATTTTGGTTAAATGTGATTAAATCAGACATCTATATATTTTAAGCAAATCTTCAAAAAAATCAATCGATTGCATTTGTAATAATTTCCTCTACTTATTCAAATCATTAAGTCAACATGAAAAACCCAAATTATATTGTGGTTGTTTATTTGTGACTGACTCACCATTTAGCTTCAGTGACACTTATCTACTGTGTACTGTCAGTACGCTTTTAGAGTATAAGTACAATTTTATGTATCATTTAGTATAAACAGAATTCTAAACCTCTAAAAAGATTGTGATTCATAAAATTTTGTCATTCTCTGAAAAAATTACTCTTTTGCTTTTTCATATAGAAAAATTATTTATAGAAAATTATGATATCCAAATACTTCCTCAACAATTTAAATTTTGTTTTAATAATTTCTGCTCTCTGGAAACAAGACAGGAATATAGTGGGAGAAAAATAGAATATAGAACAGAATAAATTAATTTGACCATATGCTACTTTTTTAATATATGAGAGACTTTCCTTTTTCTGGTATTTTAATATTAAAAAGTATTGTAGATCCAAAGATTTTCTAATGTACCAAGGAACTCTCAGCCTATATAAATGTTAATATATGAGAGAGTGCTTTTCCTAGAGTGCTTGAAAACCAGTTCACATACCATTTCTATTGGAGTGAGGTCAATTCTATTATAGACTTGTGCTAGATAAAAATAGAGATTATATGATTTATATATTATTCTGAACCATTTGTTAATATAAATAAAATTTACTTATCACTCAAAGGGATGCTCACAATGAAAATTAATATGAATCTTTAGTGTGACACACACACACTAAACTGTCACTTTTTTCACAAGTGCTGATTTTTTATTTTCTGATGATTTATAAATTCAGAGTTCTTTGTTGATCAGCTGTAGAATTTCTAGTTTCAATCTTAATATTTGCCAGATATGAACAATTTTATATTGATTTTTTTTAACTATTTTGCTTAATTTGGACATGACAACATAAAATATTTTCACTATTTACATTGTTTGAACTATCATCCTCATCTTTGTTGTCATATTTATAACAATGTTTCGGCCGTTGTACGCTCCGGCCTTCTTCAGGTGGTTGGAATGTTGAACTGAACCCTTTATTTTGCTCACTGGGATAGACAGTTCTAGTTCCATGTTTTAATGGATGTCATTTATCAGTTATCTCCTGTTAATTCCCCTCTCCAAGTTCTGGGAAACTGCCTTAACTTTTGTATTGAACTCACATTCTTTGGGTCCTCAAGGACACATGGCACAGTGGATAAAGGCGTTAGTTAGATCCAGTGACAAGACCCAAAGAGTGTGAGTTCAATACCCGGTTAAGGCAGTGGAGAACTTGGAGAGGGGAATTAACAGAAGATAACAGATAACTGACATCCATTAAACATGGCACATGGAACTAGAACAGTCTACCCCAGTGAGTGAAATAAAGGGTTCAGTTCGACATTCCAATCTGCAGGCTGGAGTGTACAACGGTCGAAACATTGTAATAAATATGGCGACAAAGATGAGGACAATAGTCTGAATAATGTAAATAGTGTACATAATAGCTCATCTCAGAAATATAGACAGATAAAATATTTTATTACAATGTTTGATTTCTTATACAACTAGAGTTAGGAATTATAATTTTAGAAAATGATTTCAAAATTTCTTTTTTGTTAAAAATACCAATGGTTAACTACTAACCTAAAAAGAGTGGGTGTTTTTGGTAGTTGAGAGACTGTTTTCCTTCTCTTAGGTAAGTTGTTAATAAGATTTACCAAATGATACTAAAAAAAATCTCTCATCATTGTGAATCTTACTCTACTGTTCAGCTGCAATTGCAAGTTATTCATCAATTTCTATTTCATTTAATAAATTCTTACCGGAGGCAAGTAGCCCAGACTTTTGCCCAGATGCCACTAGCTTCTTCAGACTTAAACAAGGGAGCCAATACTTGAAGACAGTTTAACAAGTGAACTGTAACATGAGTCCTGAAAAAATAAAATTATTTTTTTTTAAAAAACATACTTTTCACATTTCAATTTATTGGTTAGTGTTTTTGAAGTTGTAGCATTTGAAAATAAAAGTAGGTGAAAAAAATTGTACAATAAAGCAACATTGGTTACTGTTAATGAATGGCTAACATCCTTATCTTTGTTATTTTGATATCTTGATCACAACTGATATGCTCTCCAAACTTTCTCAGATGCATGGCAATGCCACTTTATATGTATGCATGTATGTATATTTAAGCAGCATATCTTCATTCAAACATATTTCATTGAATAATATAGACATATTATGTCTATTTATTTTTATAATAATCTGTTCTAGTTCTCTAATTATCTTCTTGATGTTAAGTTGAAATTCATCAAGGAAGGCACCATAGTTTTCATTAACCCAAGTACTTTCAATTTCCTCCATCATCAGTGGTGAATTGCAAAGACAAATTGATTGCTGTGATGGCAATTTTGTGAATGTGCTCTCTTATAATTATTTTTAAAATTAACCATTGTAGCTACCATGTATTTTTGTAAACAAGCATTCATAATGTAAGGGCACTAACCAGAGATAGTAAAAATGCAAAATGATAAATTTCAACTGAACATCAAGATAATTAGAGAACTAGAAAGGATTATTATAAAAATAAATATATGTAATGAGTCTATATTATTCAATGAAAAATATATATATATATATATATATATATATATATATATATATATATATATATATGAATAAAATGTTATTCATTCTGTCTCTTCTACAGATACACCCCATCTGAGAAGATACATACTCACATACTCACTCACACACACACACACATATATATATATACATACATACATACATAGTTCCTCCCATCTGACAATGCATGTTGGACAATGTCTTATCTCCATGTTGAACAATATAAAATTTATTCATTTTAGATTTATTATTCTTGTAGCAGTTGAATGTTCATATGGAGCTCAGATTTCCAACCCTATTTCTCAACCAGGGTTTGGGCCAGCTATAGTGGCTGACAATCTGTAGTTTCTTTTGTGTGTCTAACCTTTTTCTAGCTGGATTGCTTTACAGAAAATATTTACAGGATTGCTATTTATCCATAACTTTGGTAGAAGAAGTGGTTTCATGCTTTACCAAGGCCATTAAATCAAATACTATTCACTGATTATATTTTCTTGGCCAATAATTTATCACTCTGCATCTCCTAATATCACTTAAAGCATAAATAGAATTGTTAGTTTTGCAAGTATATACTACAAAGACATGAATTCTCATAGCTGAGCAATAAGCATCCATATTACAAATTTCATTTTTTTTGACAATTATTATAAATGTAAAATGAACCTTTTCTTTTTGCTCAATTTTGGGCATTGTCATTTCGACTTAGTCTTCCTACCAAAAGCAAGTTTTTATTGATGAATGACTTAAGATACCATAACTTGCTTAAGAAACGCAAAAAGTGTCACAAATCCATAGAAACGGACTTGGAGAAAAAAACACTCCTGTATTCAACTGATAAAGTAATTGTTATTTCTCAACATATTTGAACCTCGTGAGTTTGTTTTATTATTTTTCTTTTACTTACGCTTGTGCGGTATCACCTTTACCCCGGATTCAGCTTGCGCTACGGCCTGACACCTGATTGATTTCGTCTACCTAAGATCAAAGTCACAACGTGGGTAGGTTAGACTTGAGATCAAAGCAGGTATTTGGGTGACCAAGCGTTGGAGGCAAGCTGAGAACAACAAAGCTGGTATTGAACCGGAAACGACCAGATCGACCAGGACACAGGCTGGTGGCAGCGACAAGGAGTCAACCCCAAAACACTGATGGAAGAAACCTTACGGCTTCGCGCCGCAACTGGGAGTTGACCATGGGCCGACGGCGCAGTGTCATATATTGACGTCGCAACCAGTGAACGTCCCATATTGGCATCGGCGCTGCAACCGCGACCACCGGTGAGTGTCACACCTTGAAGATTACTGAAGGCATTAGACTGAATTAAGTGTTATGCTGTTATACAGGGCATGGCAGAAGTACCTCCCACATAATGATAAGACACTGGCTAGATGAAGACATATGAAATATGAGAATTATAGATATAGATAGCCTTGTCAGATCAATGACAAGGCTATCTATATCTATAATTCTCAAAATGTGTGTGTGTGTGTGTGTGTGATCGGATGTTGTTTATGCATTCCAGTTTTCATTCGATTTTGATGAAATCAGTGCTGGTTTTGAGTCCAAATTGTTGGCGACGATGGCTCTCCACTACTTCCTGTCAATTACAACTCTCAGCAACATTTTACTATTTATTATCTGTTCTTGAATATATATCTTTCATAAAAACTTTAATAAAAATAAATAGTTTAAATTATTACAATAATATTATTTATTATTCTGCAGTTAAATTTATATAATTAATTATCAATATCTATACTTCTCAAAATGTGTGTGTGTATGATTGATGTTATTTATGCATTGCATTCACCATAATAAGTAAGCATGCTTTTTATTACTCAACATTTATTTTTCCAACCTTTCCTAAAGTTATTTGAGCTGTAGCCTTACAGTGTTCTGTTCTGGTATTTGCCCACACATTCCATTTCACAATTCATATTTGCGTAAAACATGCCACCAAAGAAAAGAACTTGCCTAGGTCACAAAACCACTGCTGCCAGCGCCATGTGAATAAGATATAACGAATCATCTTTAGAACGTTCAGATCACCTGCCTCAAAATGCCTCTCGGAATGCTTCGATCAGAGCCACTGAGTCCAAAGATCAACATAGCCATTGGCTTTCTAGAAGAGCATACCTGAACGAGGCAGAAAAAGATATTCAAAGGACTTAACAGCTGAGAAGAAACACTTCAACTGCTGCTGCACATTAGGGTGAAACAAGATTGAGAACACAAAAACAGCCCTTTTCCATTCAAATCTTTTGACCTTTTCCATTCAAATCTTTTTCTCTTTTCCATTCAAATCTTTTGCCCTTTTCCATTCAAATCTTTTGCTCTTTTCCATTCAAATTGTTAACACCCCATTTTGGGTGTGTGCCTCAGTTGCACCCAATTGTTGTTACTAATTTGTTGTTATTAATATTGATTTTTAGGTGGGTTGACTTTAAACTGCTCCAATTGAATGGTAAAAATTCTCAGTAATGAAAGACACTGTCAAAGAGGGGTTATACTGCTAGTTTAAGAATATGGCTCAAGTTTTTAAGTTAATGATTTGATTCTGTAGCATCTTGCGGTGTTGTTTAAAATTACCTTTAGCACCCATGTCTCATTTCTTTATTTTTTGTACTAAATCTTCTGTTTGGTTAGATTTTGAGATGTAGCTTGATAAAAAAAACTTTTCAGCACACCTTTACACTATTCTGGAATAATTTTGTTACCTTTTGCTGTCAGCCAAAAATTGAGCCAAGGTTTGAAGCATGGGAAGAAAGTCATCTTCAGATGACAAGTCTGTTGGGTATTTGTGGAGTAAACATTTGACCAACTGAAGCCTAAAACAAAATCAAGAATATAGATATATTAGGTATAGGCAAAATTTTTCAGTCTATCAAAAAAAAAAAAAAACAACAAAAACATTTTTTTTTCAGTTTATTCAGTGTTCTAGATTTTTAAAAAAGTGGACACACACACACACACACACATATATATATATATATATATATATATATATATATATATATATATAACTGACAGTTATACAACATAGTGACTAAGCTCATGAGAAAATTTTGATCAAAATGTAAACAAACAAGTTTCCATGAAAAAAAAAAAAAAAAAACTGACTTTTAATTCTTACCAAGGAATGACTTTAGTGTTGATGCCAATTGATGATATCTCTTCACGAAGTGCCAGCCAACCTGATTCAAGGCGCCGTTTCTTATTACAAGAACTTGATGCTTCTTCAAAATTCTGTTGAGTTACTTCAATGACTCTATCAGAGAGGACCTAGATTTTTTTTAAAAGGTATGTATAAAAAGAGAATCTTCAGATAAATCATGAATAATTGGATGATGGGTTAAAACTGTTATTCAAGTGACTGATTGATTAAAATGTTCAATAATAATAACTACATGTCGTACATAACACTTTCACAAATGGACTAAATTTTTATTATGTCTGCTACCACTACCACCTAGGTAAATAATTATGGAAGAGTGGTTTGGCCATGCATTCATTTTTATCAAATCTCTAAGATTAGTTTCAGGAGATGTGTCTTCCAGGCAGTACCTCCCTATTGCCCTCACAAAAGTAGGGATCAAGGAGTGTTTTTTGAAATCTACAGCATTATGCTGAAGTAAATGTTAATTTTTTTGCTACTTGCTAATGTACACAATAAAAAAGGCCATATACAATGTTCCATAGTTATCATAACTGACATGAGATAGAGTGCAAGGAGTTAGATTCATGCCTTCTCTCAGTGCTTTCATTGGAAAATGGATAGACAGTTGTGACCAGAATTTGAACCTGAGTTAGTGATTTTTTTTTTCCTTTTCAAGTTGCTCATCATTACACCAATTTGATATTTGAAGGAACAATGAGAAGATGGACATTGTAGCAACATTACTTTTGGATGACTTAATGAAGCAGTGTTGTCTGCCACCACAACTTTAACACAAATAATGGCGGCCAGAACACAAAGACAACTGAGCTAGGGTTCAAGTTGATAATGCCACAAACCAAACTTGAAATTAGTCTGGTTGCCTTTTCTTGGTGTCCTGGGTATGACGTTAAACTGCATCCGACAGCAAGGCCTCTGATCAGGAGGTTTTGAGGAGCGTGGAACCACCTCTTAATTGCTGGTGTTCCCAGGTCCACCCTGACCCAGGGTAGTAGCACCTGTTAGGGTCCCAGCTATGGGCAAATAGTGAACTCCTAGTTTTTTCCAGATCTTGCCCATGTCCTGGGTATGACGATAAACTACATCCGCGTCCTGGGTACAGCGATAAACTACATCCAACAGCAAGGTCTCAGATAATGTTTTCGGAAAAATAATGTTACCAGCTATACGTTTTTGAAAAAATAATGTTGCCAGCTATACGTTTAATAGTATATATATATATATATATATATATATATATATATATATATATATATATAATATATATATATAAAATTAAATGACCTACTGTGGTTGATATGCCATAAAACCCAACCAACCAACCAAACAGCTTTTTCTTGGACTTTTATTTATGATAAAAATGTTCTACAGAAATTCAAAATTAGGAATGTCAAAAGAATTCAGATATCTATTTTCTAAAAATATTATTTCTAAAAAATTAATCAAAAGCAACCAATCAAAATGAGAATAGTCAATATGGACTCTTCTCCTGTTATTTCATTGGTTACAGTACTTTACCAATCAGTGAGAACCTATAATAACACATTTTTAGGAACCAATTTTTATTTCAAATTTTAAAATTAATACCAGATTTTATGATGTGCCTTAATGGCTTAAGCAAAACAAAAAAAAGCAGCATGTGCAATAGCATCATTGCACATGCTGATAATTATGGTTAATGTCAAAAGTAGCTGAAATTCACATAACAGCTTGTTATACTTTTTCTTTGGCTTTTTTGCTTGATTACAAATTTTACACTTGGTGCCAAAACTTGCTCAGGTAATTTTGTTCTTAGTTGTTATTATTATTTACCTGATGGTATACATCAGCTGCAAGCTCTGCATACTGGCTATCCAGAATGGTGACATTTTCCCGAGGACTAAAAAAAAATAAAATATCAATTTCTTAATTGAATAAACAGAATAAAGAAAATCTTAGCAAAAATTTTCATTATTACATAATAATAAAAATCAATTTAAATATTAATAAGGAAGTAATCCCACAACCAGAATTCCTTACCTTACAGTCAAGTGGCACTCAATCATGAAACTTTATTTATTTCTTTTTTCCCTACTTGTGGACAGCAGGTCTTTTCTTTGAAGCCCTCATATCTTGATTTTATTGTTGGTTGTTAGAAAACCAGACCCAAATAAAATCATTCATAGCCCACTTGACTTCATGGGTGTTCTAAGCTAATTTAGCAGGGACCCATTGTGTCACACTGGATCCTTAGATCTTACTATATTCAAACCACTGCATATGAAGAAAGTTTTACAGTATCAAATTTGTTCAACAATTGAATAATATAAATTTGTGAGTTATTTACAATAATTGTTGAAAACCTTGAATATTTGATCATATACAAAAAAAAACTGAAATCAATGGTATTTTTTCTGGGAAACTAAAACCCACTCTTCAACGACAAGTAAGGATTCTTAATACTATAATACTAAAAGAATGTGTCATGTAATCTTTAGCTGTTTAGAAACCTGCTACAGAAAAATGGCTAAAAAGACCATCTGTTCTTTAGTGTATGTTTTTACCAATTCAAGCCTAAATTAGGAAGGAATTTTTTTTTTTATTTATAACCAAATATAAAATAAAATATAAGTTTTTCTGGAAACTCTAACTGAAATTTACACTAAAAGTTGTAGAAATTAGACAAATTCACTTTCTTGTTTGGACACTTTTTTAAATCCCATGCAAGTCAGAAAAGCCACAAAGACACAAGGGGAAGTATGGGAGAATTAGGAACAGAAACATTAATAATAAGCGGGAAGAGAAAAGAGTAATTAGGAGGACAGTAGATAGTAATTTAATTCTTATTTTTTGGTGTTTCACATTTTCAGGAATTGATAATAAATTTTGTTCTTACCTTGATGAGAATGTATGTCTTGATGCCATTTCTTGTAAGTCATTGTAAATCTTTTCATACAATACCCTTAAGTGGCTCTTCAATGAAGCAGAACAAAATAGAAATTGATTTTCTTACATCAAAATAAATAATAATGTATTATATTAATATATTAATAATATTTATTAACATCAAACTATACAAACAAATAGTTAATAAATCAGCTTACAGGAAATGTTGCCATATGGTAATGGTTAACGAGGCTAGTGTGGTTGATCATTACTACTGAGTTTGTTTTAAATAACCCAACAAGGGTTGACATGTTGTAAAATCAACCAACCAACATTTTCTTATATAGGAAGTTTATTGGGATTGATTTGTTTTCAAGTTTTTTGGCAACAAAACAACTATCAGACTTTTGTTTTATAAGAGCAAGAAAATATAAATAAATATGAAGCCAGAATTCAATATTAAAACCAAGATTGTAAATCTTTTCACTATATTGGCATTTATATAACTCATACCATTTTTCTTTGCTCTAACAATATTGGAAAGTTAATGGAAGCACAATTTTTCAATGTTGTCACATCATGTCACAAATCATAAAATCCATTAGGGTTATAAGAACACCACATGCACTGCAGTCATAGCAACAGTTGTGTGTCTAGGGTAAGTTAGCCTGATGTGGCTCATCCCACTTCAGGTTGATTTTGAATTCAGTTTTCCTTCTACACTAGTTGCTATCACCAGATAAGAGATCACAGTAATCTGTTATTTAATCCATAGCCGGGGGGAATAGATTCTTACCTTTACCAAAAAGGCATTTTCACAAAAGTGAATGTAATGAATACAAACTAAGTTCACCGATCTCCCTTTCTGAGTTGTTAACTGTTTCATCACCTGTTTCACATCCACAAAAGTTGACAATGATTTGCAAAATAGAACTGATGAATTGAATTTAAAGTTTGGTAGCAGCTTTGGAATTAAAAACTCTGTATATGATCTGTTAGCACTGTACAAACCCATTTTGTTTTACTCCCCCTTTGTTTGTCCCTTTTTTTTGGTTTAGGTACTTTTTAGATTAGTCACCATTTTTGACAATCTGTCCTGTTAGCCCTTAGTCATCACCAATACCGGCAGAATAAAGGCATCAGCTCCAGTACATGATACATATTTTTCTCATCCTCCTAAATCTTACCACCAACGATAGCACCACCAGTATGTAACATTTAAAACCTTTTCTCTCTGAATTTGTCTCTTTTAATGTCATGTTATTTGAACATTTGCTTAATGTAGCCATCTTTTCTACATTTATTTTACATTTGTATCTCTTTATGTAGAATCATTTTCATCACGTATTCACTGCTTACACACTATTCCCAAATGTAACATTCTTAGAACTTAAACTGCAATAATGAAACAGATTTCTGTAGCAAACTTTATACATATTCATGTAATCAAAGTATTTACTACCTTTTCTTTATCCATTTGAACAAATAGTCTTACTGTTATTTTCAAGCCTCAGGTTGCTTTTTTCTTATTCTTTTTTGCCCTTTTGTTTGTTTGTTATTCAGACTAAACTCGTCTTATATTTCTTCTTCTAGTTTTACCCTTTTGGCTTTTAATAAACCTGATGAACAGGACTTCATCTTCAGAGTCTTAATTGCCATAAGGCGTTTATCTGGCTACCTTGAAGTATGCATACGTATGAGATGGCTCTATACTCAAGGAGGCAGAACAGTATATGATCAATTGAACTTTGGTTTTCATAATGTCATTCCATGAAATAGAAAGTAATGGGTTTCATTTTTGAACTTGCTATAATTAAGTGACAGGAGGCACGGTGGATAGTGGCTCAGATTGAAGAATTGGAGGGCTGAGTTTGAATTCCAGTCTGATCCATTACATTCACTTACGTGCTGATATCCTTGGGAAAGGTATGAATCCTCCTCTTTCCCTCCAAATATGGATAAACAGCAGGAGAAACTGAAAAGTAACTCTGAATTCAAAACAGTATGTAGCTCTGACGTAGTACATACTATATAGCTAAAGAAAGGATTGCTTGCATTCGTTCGATGAACCCAACTATGGTTGACCCGGATGGATAATTAAATAGAAGCATTAATCCTCAAAAGAAAAATGTGTTTACACATCACTAAGAATTAAAGCTAATAAAAGAAGGAAAAGTAACAAACAAGATTGTATTTTTGTTGCTTTTTAAAAGTCTTTAAACAAGTCTAATGTATATTTATGCACAATCAAAATGAACAGAACAGTTATGTGCATTAAAAAGAAAAAAGAATCCCAGATAAAGATTCATATTTGCAAAATGAGAGCCAAGTATGAATTGTGGGTCACTTTACCCTCCAGAGATCCCACTCAACAGCAAATGCTCCAAATTCTTCAGTCTTGGCACCTCCAGGATGATGAATTTTCATTTGGATGCGAAGAAATTCAATAATCTGGGTCTAATAAAAAAATAAAACTATATTTTAATAACCAAAAATCAGATACATTGTGTAGCAAAGCTAACAAAGAATAATTTTTTCAAAGATGCAAATTCAAATAAGTTTAAAGTAAAACTGCAACAAATTGGAAGATTTCGTGCAATAACAGCTACATCCTCTATTTTCAGATTTTACTTTTATCTTTACAATGAGAATTACTTAGACTCATCATTAGTGTTGGTTAGTTTGACAATTTCTGTTTTGGTATTGGTTTCCATTTTTTCCCCTTGATACCGCAGTTTTTGATTTGTTTTTTTGGTTTTTAATTTAGTATTTTCCCTTTCTAAGAAAGCTATTCATTTTCTTGTGTAATGATAGCATTTCCAGTTGATATCTGATTTCATTTGACATTGATAAATTTGCAACTAATTTTTTTATTTTTACTGTCTATTTTGTTATTAACTTAATTTTACCACAAAAAGTATTTTTTTTTGAAAATTGAAACAAATAGATTTTCATTTTTCAGTCATGTTGTATTTCCATTTTTTCTGTTTGAAAACATTATGATTTCCAAATGTCATATCTGTTGTATTTCCTTTTTTTTCTTCTTCATTTCTTTTGTAAATAAATAGATTTCACATTTATTTCCTAAAACTAGTCAAATGTTTTTTTAACATATTTTTGTTCAATATTTTTCTCTCACAGTGGTATAAATGTTGAAAAAATTTAATTTTATTAACATCTTAAAGACTTTTTCAATAGTGTTTCTTTGGATATGGTCACTCAGTAGTGATATAGCACTTAAAAAACCAAATGATTTCGATTTCATAAAAAATTTTGCTGCGGTTTCACAGTGAAGATGAAACCGAAAAAGTTGGTTTTTCGGTTAAACTGTACATCTCTACTCATCATATTATTGAAGATGAAAACACATCATATAGAAATATTGAAATCAGTAAAGTAAGCCTTTGTAAAGAATGCAATTATATTATCATACATATCTGACAAAACAAACATTGATTATTAATATCAAGGAAAAAATACAGATAACAACCTAAGACAGTAAAAAAAGAAAAAGCATCAGTATTAATGAGATTTCAATATGTGCCTTTTTGGCAAAATTGCCCAAACCATTGCATCTTCTCAGTTGCTTTTTATACAGGGTATCCATAAAGTTTGTGTGCACTTTAAAAAATTTATAACTTTATTTGTATTTGTGATAGAAATAATCTGTAAAAAATGTTATAAAGTTTTATGTACCTAGTTTTAAGTATAGCTAAAATAACTAATGTGATTTCAGGCATTACTGTAAATCAGTTGGCAAATGTTTTCCATGAACTGCAAAATCATATTACCCTTTGTATTGCTAATGACGGAGGACATGTGGAAACTTAAAATTTCAATAAAACCTTAAACAATATAGATTTAGTTCTTTCTAATCCTTTTTACAAATTATTTCTATTGCAAATACAAATAATAAAGTTATAAATTTTTTTAAAGTGTACACAAACTTTATGGACACCCTGTATATTATTTACCTGACATAGACACACAGAAAAAATAAGAACATTTGAAGACACTGAAGATTTTTTTTTCAATATACCAAATTGCTTGAGTTTATAAGGCATATGGTTAAACATCTAACATAATGTGTTTGCATATACATATAGTATATACAAAGGTTTTCAGCATTTTTTTTTCATAAAAAAATGATTTTCAACTGTGTATTCCGTCTCTCGATATTAAAAAAAATAGGTTACTGAGAACTTTTGCACCCAGCTTGGGCAATGAATTCATAAATGTGATCCAGTTGTACAGCAAGTTATATGCAGAATTGAAAAATTGCATGAACAAAACTTCAATGAAACGTATTTAAATTACAATACATAATATATATATAATGTATTACAAAACAGATGGATTAATTTAAACAAGTACCATAAGGATTCAATAGAACACAAGAATAATAATCATTTCTAACAAGTAACACAAAACAAAACAAAAACCCTCAAGCATAAGGCAAAAAAAAAAATAGATTTTTATAATTTCATGGAGCTAGGTTTTTAATCTAGATAGTTTTGTCCAATCAGATAATTCATAAAAAAGACTACTCGTTTTTAATTTTCTTTATGACCTTCCTGATGACATCAGCTCTCAACTTGGTATCTATGCTGATGACACAACCATTTACTCCTGCCTCGATAGTAAAGCTGATCAGTTTTACAAGGTCAAAATGGCAGCCAATGTCCAAACGACCTCAAATCTGTTATTAACTGGGGCAAAAGATGGCTTGTTAATTTTAACGCCCCCAAAACTAAACTTCTCTCCATTAACCATCTGAAAGACCCCTTGCTGCCTGCCATCAGCATGGCTGATGCTATCCTCCAGGAAAGTGACTCATTGTACCTTCTAAGGTTAATGTTCTTAGCTGATGTGAAGTGGAAAGACTATATTGAATCCATTGCTAAGTCAGCTGCTAAGAAAGTTGGTTCACTGTGTTGTGCTAGACAGTTTTTCTCTCCAGAATCTATCTTACATATCTATAAGGCTACCATTTGTCCATGCTTAGAATGTTGTTGCCACATATGATTCAGTGCCCCTGCTATTTGCCTTAAGCTCCTTGATAAAATCCAAAGAAGAATCAGTAATATTATTGGTCCTGAGCTGATGGCTTGGCTTCATCATTTTCCAACCACTGTAAGGTTGCCTCACATTAGTTAACAACAGACTTGAGGTCATTTGGCTGCCATTTTGACTGACTTTCTGTGTTTGGTCTTTGGAAGGAATCATGTTAAGTAAATACACAAAAATGTAAAGAGTGAAAATAGGATCTACTTTTTGGAGCTGTTCATCCATACTAAAGAATGCATCAATTGAGCCAGGCTATAATGTGTATCTAGAAAAAGAGATTGTATTGACTCAGCTGTGATTTAATGGGTTTGTTCAGAATGTGGCTGTGTTGGCTTATCGGGGCTGAAAAGTCAAATGAAGGTACATGGTATTAATCATGAAAACACTGCTCACTATCCCCAAAAATGAGTTCCAAGAATGCTTCCAAAAATGGAAATGATGTGAGATAAATGTGTTACTTTAGAAGGGAACTACTTCAAAGGTAATTAAGTGCTGAATTGATGTGTGTTGTAATTTTATTTTTACTTTTTGATCAGACCATATATATATGTTGTGATCCACTTTCCAAAATCTGATCAAATGCCCACACATTAGATTTCAAAGCTAAATATTTTCCTTCATATTTAAAGGCTGGAAAGTCAATAACTTATAAAGGATGAGAAAAATGCCAGGTATAAGATTCCCTTGCTCTATAGAATGTGACTTTGATAGTTCAAGTGTGATGAATTCTCTGTAGGACTTGTTCAATAGCAGCAGCTACAGCTAAAAGATTTACATTAAAAACCAAGTCTTTTATTCAATAAAAAGAAGCCTTTCTAAAAAATGAAAAATCAATTAATAGTAAATTTACCTGCAAGAAGGAATTCTTATGGTTCCAGATATACAGCAACTGCAGGATGCTGACTTCCCCAAGTTTACACATCTGTTGTCGACCCTCTGCTCCAACCAACTTCACAAACAAATTCACAGATCGCAAGATATATTCCACAACAGTCAGTTTTTCCTTTCTGATTCTAAAAACAAAATTGCCGATTGATTCACATGCATCTTTTTCATTTGTATTACTTTACTGGTGTTGTTGAAAATGGAGTTTTTAAATAATCATTAATTTTTACTGGATAATTCTATTTTGCTAATTTTTAACATAGTAAACAAAGATGGAAAAAGATGGATGAAATTAAAAAAAAAAAAAAAACAGAGATAAAAATTCTTTTTACATTGATGAAAAATTCATGATATAAACCAGTGGCTCTCAATCATTTTTTACTTATGGACCACTTTTACTCTTAATTCTTTTTGGTGGACCCATAACCATTCAATGAAAAAAATGCTTATTTTATTTTTTAGTAATAGATAAGTTTAGGAATTGTATTATAGAAATAGAAAATGCATATGCTTCCATTATATATAATCCTTATACACTTAATATATTGAATTAATTTTATTATCAATATTTTATATTTTTAATATTTTATATTGATTAATTTATATTAATATATTACTATATTACTCTTTTAATTTATTAATATTTAAAATTATATCATTTATTATTAATATATTAAATTAATATATATAATAAATTATAATATTCATATAATTTTACTATATATATATATATATATATATATATAAAATCCTTCTTTGTTTTTATTGAAATTTTACAACCAAAACTTTCGGTAGGTTAAAAGGGATGCTCACTTACATCACTTGATCACGTTTTCTGCTAGTTTTAGAGTTGTTTTTTTTTTTTAATTTTAGTATTTTAATATGGCGTAGATTATTGTAGTAATTCCAAATCTTGTTTGTGACAACTGCTCCGATGTAAAATTGCTATATGGACCATTAAAATATTACGGTGAATCCCCAATCTTCTATGATTTTTGTGTGGACCCCCAGTAATGTTACATCGACCCCTTGGGTCCATATAGACCCCAGTTGAGAACCACAGATATAAACATACAACAGGGTCCTCTATTAGCTTTTCACCAACCAGACAATGAAACCCCAGGTTGTATCTATCCTTGTTCACTAATGCAATCACAACTATAACTATTAATATAAGTCTGTGACTGGAAAGCCTCAGTAGCCAGTTTTGTTGTCACTTGTTTTCAAAAGTATTCATTTAGTTATCTATTAGTTTATTTTCTTTTGGTTAAATGGGTGGCTAATTTTGAAAACCCAATTTCACAGATATTATCACTAGTCATAAAACACAAAACACTTAAGACTGCGATAAAATCATATACAACCTCTTTTATGTGGATGCTCCAATCATAGTGTCACTATTAAAATCAGTAATATTAATAATTATCATTTCTTAAAAACCAAAAAAAGAAAAACTTCTCAATTAGAGAATAAAATCAAAATGATTCTATTTCATTGAGAAGGCAATGCAGCATACCTGGATGATTGAAAAAAGTCAGTGTAGAACTTGAGGAGATCTTCAGTGGGCAAATCAGTGTGAAGGGAAACAGTTTGAATTAATGCATAAATAAGCCGAGCATGCAACAGATGATCACAGTCAGTTTCATTTGACTGGAAGGTGTGGCAATAAATTTTCAGCAGTTCTGGGAAAAAAAAGACATTTGAACAGAACAATTTAAGATAAACCTTAATTTCTTACAGTTAGCATGCAGTAAACAGTTTCTTTTTTTTATAACCTTTAAAAAATATTCAGTATCTTGGTACTATAAAATATAATCACGAAGATGTGAGTTAAATAGAAAAAAAAATTAGCGAAAATACCAATGCAACTTTGATGAATTTATCACCAATATTTATTGAGGTGTTCATTTTATTGACTTTTTAAATCTTGATTTATAAAAGTTTACATGACCATGATTAACAGCTGAGCTTCCTGTTTATTTCTTTATGCTAATCAAATAAAAAGATTAAAGTCAATTTTCACAATAAATTATACTTTCAGTGTAGCCATCATTATAAATGTTGGAAAAGACTAAGGTTATTTTGAAAATTAAAAAAAGTTTTTTTTCCAGATTTTGATACTGAGTTGGTCTATAGATTGAATAATTGAACGTTTGTGAATACAAAGTATTAAGTAAATTTGTCTCAGCTACCTTATATACTGTATTTCTTGGCATTTAGTATGCACATATAATTTGCTAATAGATTTTTAGTCAAAAAACTAATAATATTCAATTAATGATTCAATCATTACTTATATCTTTTTTTTTTATAATGAATTACTATTTTGATTTGTAATTAAAATTTAATCATTTATAATCATTCAGGTGTGTCAACCAGATGTTTTGGTATTATCACTAATGCAACCATCAGGATATAAAACTTGAGCTGATTTGTGGAGGATTTTATCTAAGTGCATTGATTATGATACTTAACTGACAATGTATTTGCATAATTGTTAGAAGTCACTCCTAGCGGTTATAATATTATTTCTTGCTTAGGCTACTCAGCATGAGGTCATTAAAGCTCTTTCTGACTGACTCCAACAGCGTTCTTTATTTAAGGTGTCTTGCCAAGTTCATTTGTGTTACCAAATGTGTCTTATTTACTCCACAACAGCCTCCTTTTGAAATTTTTTTTCCCACTAGTATTTTATTTCTTAGTATTCACCCCCTCCTCTTTCTGGTGAGTTCATCACATACTGAACTTTGTATTTCTTTGTATTGGGTCAACCTCTAGTTTTTCTGTACATTTCCTTTTTCTGGTAATCACACTTGTACGTTCAATGAATCCTTGGGGTGTTGGCATATCAAAAATATTATACAGAACTTGCATAGGTTCTTCTTGCCTTTTATGTTTCCATTTTTTTTCTTTTCATCATATATATCATTTTTCCAATTTGTGACCTTATTACGCCATCTTCCCACATTTGTTTTCCATTTTTATATATTCCAAAAACACTTTTTCACCAATTTTGAAAAATTTTGTATCCTTTTCGTAATCCGTTCATATTCTTTTTTGACCTGGTAACAACTTTGTCAAACATTGATTTAATTTTTCTTGCGAACATCAATTCTGCCAGTGAGATGCCTGTTGGTGGAATCAGATTCAGTATTATCTGGTATACTCTCAAGAATTTTTTTAATGCTTCTTTGCTCACTTTTTCATTACTCACTTTTTTTCAAAGCAGTCTTAAAAGTATCCACAAACCTGTCTATATTTCTGAGATGAGGTATTTTTACATTATTCAGACTATTATTCTCATTTTTGCTGCAATATTTATTACAACGTTTCGGCCGTTGTATGCTCCGGCCTTCTTCAGGTGGTTGGAATGTCAAACTTTACCCTTTATTTCGCTCACTGGTGTAGACTGTTCTAGTTCCACGTGCCATGTTTTAATGGATGTCAGTTATCTGTTATCTCCTGTTAATTTCCCTCTGAAAGTTCTCCACTGCCTTAACCGGGTATTGAACTCACACTCTTTGGGTCCTGTCACTGGATCTAACCAACGCCTTTATCCACTGTGCCATGTGTCCTTGAAGAAGGCCAGAGCGTACAACGGCTGAAACATTGTAATAAATATGGTGACAAAGATGAGGACGAAAGTCTGAATAATGTAAATAATCCACAAACCATTCAGCTTGTCAGTTTGACCAAGCAAACAGTTCATGTAAAAAATTCACTGTAACCATGGAAGTTGTTTTTTTACACTTACAAATTTCAATCCACTTACTAAAGCTATCCACTACCACAAGATAATGTGATCCATTTATTGGATCTGCAAAATCTATGTGCAGTCTTGACCACAAAGTATCTATGCAGTATCATATGAGAATGACAACATAAATAGAGAGCAGAGGGTGAACAAAGGGCATCAGTTAGTGAACCTGTTTGCTAAACATAACATGGAGAACTGTGATACAACTGATACTAATCCAGAGAGAAATACACAACATAACACTGGCATCGACAATAGGATCCTTAATTGTGCTGGAAGATCCAGAACATATAGAGACATGGATCAGAACTTTTGCTGCATTTGCAAGAGTAAAAAAATTAAGAGACAGCAAGACTGAAGGAGGAGAAAACGAGATATTGAATTAGAAGAAATGACATTTGAAGAAATTGTCAAACTTATAAAAAAGAATATAAGACCAAAGAAAAGATTGGTCGTTGCTGAAAGAACCAAGTTTTTAGAGACAAGACAAGCACCCAATGAGTCCATTATACAATACTTACATAGCTTAAAAGAAGGTGCTAAGTACCATGAATTTGGAAAGTTGGAAACTCAGGAAATGACCATAAAAGATGAATTAATTCTTCTCAGAATAATTGAAGGTTTGCAAGACCAAAACCACAAACAAAAAATACTGGAAGGTTTACAAAGTAGTAACATGAGTTTGGAGGCTAGCATTGACATTTTACAACAGTTAGAGTTGATTAGAGAATTTAATCAACCAAAAGAAAATTCAAAGCATACAGGACAAACACAACCCAGTTTATAATTAAGTGTAGATTCTGTGGAAAAAATCATGAGAGGGACAACTACAAATGTCCCGTGTTAGAAAAAATATGCTCAAATTGCAAAAAAAAAAAAAAAAGAGAGACCATTTTCAGAACGTATGCAAATACGAAAAGAAAATAGAAAGAGTACAAAAAGTGTACAACCACCCCCGCAAAGAAGAGGTTGAAGTATTTACAGTGAATATGCCAAAAAGAAGGAGAGAAAAAAATAAGGATAAATGGCCAAATATTTAGCATGCAAGTCGATACAGGCAGTGAAGTCACGCTGATACCAAAAAATTTCTGTGTTAAATTGGGACGGCCTAAATTAAAAAAAGCAACATCCAATTGAAGCAATTTGATGGAATGACTATAAAAATAATGAGTACATTTCAAAACAATTTTGAAATGGATACGTGTTTTGAAGTAATTCACATTACAGTGGTAGAATGTGGAAAAGATCATGGACTGCTAGGAATTGATGTGTTAAAAGTAGATATGGCAAGATTAATCAATTCCATGGAAGCACAAGAAAATGAAATTGGAGTGTTAAAAGGCTATAAAGCAAGTATTTGACTAAAAGAGAATTATCATCCAAAATATATATAATCGAGAAAAGTTCCAATTCATATCCTACCTTTGGTAGTGAGCAAGTTAAACAAAATGATACAACAAGGCATACTAGAAAGAGTGACTCAAGGTGGTAGCAATTAGGCGTCACCAATAGTAGCCATAAAGAAACCTGACAGAGATTTAAAGATTTCTGGTGATTACAAAATAGGGGTAAATCACCAGATATGTTCAGACTCCTTTCCAAAGCTAAATATCAAAACTGCAAGCCATGAGTTAGCGAAAACGGAACACGTTGCAAAAATTGATCTCAAGGAAGCATACAACCAAATAGAAATTGATGAAAAATTCAAGGAAGTAACTACGATAAAAAATTTCTATAGGGTTGTTAAGATGGACACGTCTACCATTTGGGGTAAAGATGTCGAGTCATATTTTTCAGAAAGCGATTGAAAGAGTCTTATTAGGAAAAATAAAAAATATGATAATTTACCAGGACGATATATGTGTAGGGGCAAGAACCAGAGAAGAATTGAAATACAAAACAGAGCAAATTTTAGTGAGATTGAACAAGGCAGGCATGACTATAAACAAAGACAAATGAAGTTTTGACTGCAAGAAGATATCATATTTAAGATATCAAATATCAAAAAAAGACATATCACCTGACGAGAGATTAACAAAGAAAATAACAGAACTAGCGCCTCCAACAAATAAAAAAAAATTAGAATCCTTTTTGGGGCTGATGAATTTTTATAGTAAATACATTCCAAGATACAGTGATATAATAGAGCCATTTGCAAAATTATGCAAGAAAAATAATGAATTTAAGTGGACACAAGAGCAAACTATTGCTTTGGAGACAGTAAAGAAAATACTGAAGAGCAAACCAATAATAAAAAGTTTTTGATCCACAAAAAGAAATAACATTAACCACAGACACGAGTGAAAAAGCGATTGCTGCTATAGTATCGCAAGAGGAACACCCAATCATGTACATATCAAGAAGGTTAATGTCAGCCAAGATTAAGTACTTGAATATTGAAAAAGAAGCATTAGCGGTTATATGGAGCATGGAAAGGGCACAACATTTTTGCAGAGGAAAGAAATTCTTATTAAAATCAGACCACAAACCATTGGAATTCCTATTTAACCTGAGAAAAGAATTGCCAAAAGTAACATCGTCAAGGATTTTAAGATGGGCAATAAAGACCATGGCATTCGATTTTGACATAATATATGTAAAAGGGAACACTATTCCTCATGTAGATGTGTTATCAAGATAGAATTTCAAGAATGAAACAGAACAAAAACAGGAAAAGGCAGAAGACAAAATAATACATTGGGTTAAAACGAACGTTCTTCCTCTAAATAGACTCAAAATAGAGACAGAGCAAGACCCAATATTAAGCAGAATAGTGGAGCGAATAAGAAATAATGTATGGAGCAATTGTTCGATGGCAGAGCAACACTTTAAAGAAACGAAGCACAAACTGACCATAGAAAATGGCATAATATGCAATGGGGATATAATTGTAGCTGCACAAACACTGAGAAGGGACATATTAAA